TGAATAAGCTAAATATATAAAATAGCTTGCATGGAATATAAGGAGAAGAAGAAGGAGGAGGAGAAGAAGGAGAAGAAGGAGAAGGTGAAGGAGGAAGGAGGAAGGAGAAGTAGGAAGGAAAAGGTGAAGGAGAAGGAGGAGAAGGAGAAGGAGGAAGAGAAGGTGAAGGAGGAAGGAGAAGGTGAAGGAGGAAGGAGAAGGTGAAGGAGAAGAAGAAGGTGGAAGGAGAAGAAGGAGAAGAAGGAGAAGGAGGAAGGAGAAGGAGAAGGAGAAGATGAAGGGGGAAGGAAAAGGAGAAGGAGGAGGATTGTGTTTTTGTTCGGAGTTCTAGTTGACTGGTATCCGTTGATGGCTTGTCTGAACCACAGCGAGCCACCCGACCGACCGACCAACCGACCGACCAACCGGTCCTAAATGTCAGAAGAGGAGGATGTAGTCGAGTTCAAACGAGTGCAACTATAAACCAATCACTTCCACCTGTAGGTTTAGATAATGGGGGTCATAATAGGAGGGAGGTACTTGTAGGTTAAGGGATAAGAAAGGTTCTGTAGGAGTATTCAAAAGTTTTGACATCGACTTCTGTGTTTTGGGGGAGAGAGTGATGGGGGGGGGGGATGTAGAGAGACAGCTATAGGCATATTATAGATAGGCAGAGTTGTAAAATGTCTTAATGTTTATCTGTACTTTTCAAAAATTATCAATTCCATCTCATTTCAAGTTTTCTCTCTTCATACATTCCTTCGATTTTCATTCAGTTTCATTCATCTTCTTTCTTTCTGGATTATCACTTTCATCCTTTTTGTATATATTTTGCGTTCAACTCATTATCATATCTCATAATGATGATACTATGTCAACTCTTTCTCTTCCAAGCTTTTATACTCCCCCCCCCCATTACTCTTTTCCTCTGCCTCTCCCCTCCCCTCTCTCTCTTTCTATTTGATATTCCTCTGTTTCCATGCATTTGCTTGTTTGTTCTACCTATTCTCATCATTTGATGCCTGTCTGTCTTTAGGTCTCCTTCTCCATCTCTTCATTGATACAGACTGCATAATCTCTATTTCTTCTTTCTTTCTTCTCTCCCTCTCTATCTCTCTATCTCTCCTTTTTCACTGTCTCTCCCTTTTTCACTCCCTCTCCCTTTTCACTCTCTCTCTCTCTCTCTCTCTCTCTCTCTCTCTCTATCTCTCCTCTCCCTCAGTCTCTTACTCTCACTGTGTATTTTCTCTCTTTCTCACTTTCTCTCTCTCTCTACCCCCTCTCTTTCCCACTTTCCTCCTCTCTTTTTCACTCTCTCTCTTTCTCTGTCATACTCTCTCTCTCTCTCTCTCTCTCTCTCTCTCTCTCTCTCTCTCTCCTGTTCTCTTATCAGTAGCCGTCAGTTAGATGAATTGGCTCGCTAATAAACATTATTAAATTGATGGCTTCCCTATTCCTCTGTTTGACTCTCTTTCATTAAAACAGATGGAATGTCACTGCTCATTACACCTCATCATATTCAAAAGTTCAAGGTCATTCATATTATTCTATTAAACAACACTGTGGCATAGACACAAATAGATGCGAGAAAATGAAATTTGTTTAAGAGTAAATTTTATCAGTCTCTGGCATCAGGCTAATAAAATGATAGCATTTGAATATGAAAAGTTCATGGCTGATCCGTATCATTGAAATTTGTCTCCACCATTTTTTTTAAAAGTAGGATTACTCCTCAATATTGAAACTGTTTAAATGGTTAGACTTATTGAGATTTGATTATATATTTATAGTGACATTAGTCTTATTAGAGAATCCTATGGCATGGATTGATAAGAGAACTTGAAGTAAGCAACAGAAAGTCACTTCATTTAGATTTATGGCACACAAGAAGTAAGCTCACTTTAGCTTGTGGTACATAAGTGTAATTAAGTAAACTTTGCATCAAGTAATATCATCATTTCTTCCAAAGAAATTCAATCTTTTAGAAAGTTATGATTTTTTTTTTTTGGAGGAGGTATGGGTTCTAGAATCTAGGTGTGGCGCCAACAAAAGTTACATTCCTTAAGAGTAATTTTTGATAAATTATACAGACAAGGAAGAAATACAAAGTCATGAAAACTTTTTTTCTCTCTCTCTCTCTGCCCCCCTCTCTCTCTCCCTCCCTCTTTACTTTGGAGTTGGAGTAAAAAATCTCTGAGGATGAGATATGAAAGAAATGATATTAAGCAATCTTGCCCTCGATTTGGGAAAGTTCTAAAAATACTGTGGTTTGGTATGGCCGAAGCTCTCCATTAAAGCTGGTGGTAATTGCACCTAAGTTCTCGCATCCTGCTCCAGCAAGTCGTTCAGGTTTTCTCAGCTCTCAAGTCTAATCCTCAGCTTCACACTTCTAAGGGCAACAAGAAAATATAGTGGACTAAAAGGTGATGATCTTTGCTAAAGATGTGATTTTACAGGGAAAAAAAATATTTAAAAATTGTTGGGGGCTACTTTTCAAGCTTGCTTGCATGAAAATAACACTCTTTAATTTGTTTTGTATTGAACTTTATGCAAATTTGGGGGCTCTTTTATGACTTTTGGGGGCTCTTTGGGGCAATTCGGGGGCTAATTTGCCCCAAGCCGGCAAGCCCCCGTGTATTTTTTTCACTGGATGAGAATTACATCTATCATTGGAATTTATGAGATGAAAAAAAAAAAGTACAGACAGAAATGTACTCAATTTCTTTTGTCATACGTTAATGATTAAGAATGTTTTATGTGTTGGTCAGGACACAATTATGCTTACCGGTATAGGTGGTTGAGTGTAAAAATGAAATATAGTATGATTCTATGATGAATGCAATTACCGTTATCGAATCAATGGCCAAATTTTATGATACCTTTGATATGACTAAAACACCATCAACAACAAAAAGATTAGAACTGAGTTATTCACACCCCTTGTAAATTTGATGTTTTTTGTGTTTTTTGAAACTCAAGAATTAAAGGTGGATTGGTTGAATAAAGGCCTTTGGTGAATACTTTTAGATGTAAGCTTTTATGTGTCACCTTCTCAAGGAACATACATCAGGAGAAATCAAGTTTAACATACTTGTTCATTTCATTTGAATGGTAGGAAAGTTTCAGTCTATTTTTTATTTATTACTAATTTATAAATTGAACTGAAATGAATTTGGCCTTTGAAAGACCTTTAACCCAAGTGAAGTTTGCCGTCTTCTCAACTTTAACTCAAGCCAAAGTCAGCACTTCAAAGTGGATCAAGTCTTGATCTCAGATAAAGCAGGCAAAGAAAAGTTTGTTGTAGATAGAAAGGGGGGCAGATGACTCCCCTAAAGTCAGGCTTAATCTCTTCCATCTCTCTCTCTTTCTCTCTCTCTGACTGAGTGTGCCTCCCGGGGCATGCCTTGTGGTAACGTACAAGGGAGATTAAGAGACCTAATCCAGGGGTTCTCATACCTCACAAACATTCCATGATTGATTAATATTGTTAATCTGTCCTGGACCTGTTGTTGTTTTATTCTTGATGAAGTAAGTAATGACATGTAGGTTGAGAGAGAAAGAGGGATTTATCATGGATTGGGTGCGCGAGAGAGAAGTAGAGGGAGAGAGAGAGAGAGTGAGGGGCTGGGGACATTGACAATATGACGACGGGGGAAAGAAAAATATGGGAGGTCTTTAACACGCACTCTCTCGGAAGTAGGGGAATGCGAAAGATAAGGCCCTCCTGGTACCTGCGACGTAGAGATAGAGCTCCCTCGTTAGGCCAGCTGTCAAGTTCCTAATTGACCGCATGAATGCCAGGATATCCTGGATTGTCAACGACTAGTACTGACTTAACCTTGCGCAAAGTGTGCTCATGAATATGCATGAGCTTTACAAGCTCAGTGAGTGGTACTGATTTAACCCTCGGCTAGTGTGCTCATGAATATGCATGAGCTTTACAAGCTCAGTGAGTGGTACTGATTTAACCCTTGCGCTAGTGTGCTCATGAATATGCATGAGCTTTACAAGCTCAGCGAGTGGTACTGACTTAACCTTGCACAAAGTGTGCTCATGAATATGCATGAGTTTATATGCATGAGTTTTACCATCTCAGCAAGTCGTAGTACTGACCTAACCTTGCACAATGTGTGTTCATGAATATGCATGAGCTTCACAAGCTCTTGAATAAACATTCTTGTAATGATTAGAAGAAGAGGGTAAATACTTAAAATGATTTGATAGACTCTAATGTAAAGGAAGAAAGAATGATTGAAATGTTGAATTTGCTTTTTTAGCTCATGAATATGCAGCAGTTATTTCCCATTTCCCTTGATATTGTAAAGAAAACAAAAACTATATTTAGCTACAGAAAAACATGTTGTAGAATTAATGTTACTGCAAGGTTGTGAAAAGACAAAGGTTGCTTGAAAAATAGAATGTAAGACAGATATAGTGTTGGTCATGAATTATTGTATTATCAATCTCTGCACTGCTGACAGAAGAGCACAGTTAGTCAATGTGTGTTTACACCAAGAGTGAAGAAGCCCGTCCTATAAAATTGCTTCAAGTTTCGGCGCAGTTTCCCCCTCCCTCAAACGTTCTTGGAATTAAAGATAAAGACCAGTTATGGTCATGCGATTGAATTGTGAAAGAAACGTTGTGGAATCGATCAGAAAAGGTTGATCATCTAAGAAATTTGGCCCAGTCTTGGTAAAGTTACAAGCACTGTACACAGAAAGACGTATATGGGACTACGCACACGTGCACGACACGTGCGTTATATCGATCAGGTCCAAATAGATATAATAATTTACCAAATATATCAATTAGTAGGCGGTTTCTCTGCAAAATTTGTATGATCACATATTAGTCAAAACATATTCTTTCACAATGATTGGTAATAACAGCTTCCATTTCATTTTTTTGAGAGGGTTTTTTTTCTCCAAAACTGGTCTTTACCTTTAACTCGGCATATAGATGTGTACCACATGTTTGATAAATAATCCGTATTGTACATTACTGTTAATCCTCTAACACAGTTCATCTTCCTTTACTGAGCCTAAGACGTGCAGAGGAGTCATTGGGCATGCTGCAATTTGGTGAGCAAGGGGTCAAAGGTCAAAGGGCAATTGGCATGTCTAGAGCTCTGCATTAAAAGAAAAGAAATTTAAAAAAAAACCTCCCCAATACCTGCATCCAATTCATTTTGCATTTTGGAATCCATCATTTCCTTCCCCTTGTACCAGTTATTTTCTTGAGTTCAAGTAGAATCTTGATTTCCTTGAAATGTGTTATCGAAATATAGCTGCTGTCAAATTTTAAACTTTAAAATTCATGCATTGCTATTATTTGCATTTCTTATGCTTACGACTCTGTTATGATCTCATACAGTGTTTGAACAGTTCTTAATCAAGTATTTTGGTTTGAACTAAAATATTGTTAGAAATGAATATCTGTGCCATTGCTGGTTCCCTAAAAGCCTGCAGCATGCCCAAGTTAGCTGACCCTGCTCTTGTCATCCTGTTGCTATGTTGGACATGGTTCACTTCATCTGTTTGAGCCAGACAGGTGTGTTTACATGTATACTTTATCACAGCGTGAACACCTTTTTTGCTCTGTACAGAACATTTGTGAATCTATCTCATAGATGTATATGAGGGGTTTTACATTAGATTCTGATCTCTAATTTGTTAGTTCAATTTCCTTTTTATTTTATCTCTCTTATCCTCTATCTCTTATTCTCTTGTATCTTAATTGATACTTCTGTTCTTCCATTATCTTGCCTATCTCCTTACTATCTTGCCTCTCTCCTTATTATCTTGCCCCTCTCCTTACTATCTTGCCTTTCTCCTTATTATCTTGCCTCTCTCCTCACTATCTTGCCTCTCTCCTTACTGTCTTCATCTGTCTTTCTCTCCTACTTCACCCTGTGCAGCTGGTTCTCTGGCCGATGCTCTACAACGTGTCAATGCAGATGCTCACTACGGAGATAGATCACCATCAGACAAGGAACAGATAGCACTTGATACGCTCACCAACCAACTACCAATCAGATCCTTCTCTGCTAGTGACATCACAATGGGAAATATAAGTGGCAGTGACGATGAAGATATGGTAAGCTAGTTGTAATCGCTGAGGTGTTTAAACATGAAGGAGAGAGTTATTTACAATTTATTACGTAGAATTTGAAAATTATGAACTTAGCAGGTCAAGCATACTGTGAGGCATTATTACTATAATAATAATAATAATAATAATAATAATAATAATAATAGTGGCTACTTGTATAGCGCACAGGTCCACCTTGCGGTGCTCATGGCGCTTAGAGAAAAGGACATCTAACAGACATAAGAAAGAAAAAGACAATAAACCGAAAAAACAGAATTCGAAATTCTCCTAGAACTGGTAAATTAAAATATCAAAATATTAAGGAAATATGTGATCTTATAAAAGTTTTGAATCACTATATTCAAGGAATGAAATGGAAGCGGTATGAATTCAGTAAGTTAAGAAAGATGGATGTAAATATGATTTCTGATCTCTCATCGACTACCGGTACTGACATGTCATTTATAACAGTAAAAGCAGTGCAATTGACAATTGTAGGGAAGATGCCATCGCAGGCGTAGTAAGGAAATTTATTTCAACCCCTTTGACTTCTACCCCTAAAGGTAATACAAAGTTTTGGGAAATTGTGAAAATTGGGTGGATACTGATTCTTTACAATTTTAATATATTTGGATGCCCCTGTGGATGTATTATAAGCACTACAAAAATTAACCCCCAAAACATTGAATATACAAATTTACCGGTGCTCCCGGTAAATTTTGATAAATTTCAAATAGTGCCTACGGCCGTACAATAGTAGCTGCGAGCATAAAAAGCTCAGAATATGTCGTTGTGATATATAATTTCCAAACGAGAATAGCTTATCGGGCGATTTTAGTCAAGAAACATTGTTTCATAGCTAAAGTGATATTTTGACCTTGAGAGAGAGCTATACATCATGGAGAGTTTATTATTTATAATTTCATAACTTTAGACTCGATTTCAACGATCAATGAATATTGTAGGAACGCATGTGCTTCCAATATATTAATTTGAACCAAATTCATGACCCCATACCAATACTTTGTAATACCTTTAACACTGTAACACTTGAGAATGATTTATATTACCGGTAATTAGAATGGTGTAAAATTGCCTGTACTTGGTATCGATAAGGAGTTATGTTTTGTCTTTTGTGAACAGCTAAGCAGGAAAGGAATTGTGATTGATCTGACTGAAGAAGATGAAAGACCCAAGATAGATATCCAGGTTGATCATGGTAAGTACTGTCATCATCATCATCATCATCATCATCATTCATACACTTAACAAGTTTTGTAATCTTTTAAAGGGATAGTCGAGTTTTGTTGCACAGGGCGCTACACAAAATAATTTTTGTGTGAGATAATGAAAAACTGAGTGACAAATTTGAAAGAACATATAATTCAAATGACAAAATCATCTGTTTGATCAAAATTGGTTCATAGAAAGCTGAAATATCCATAAGTATAATGATTTCTAATATTTGTGTACCACCACAAATATTCCATACCTTCATAGCAATTTTAGGACCTCAAAGGGCACTAGAAATGTCATAGATAGAATAAGAGCAATAACCATGCACTTTGAAGGCAATTGCGGTCTGAAAACTGAACTCAACTATCCCTTTAAAGTGTGTGAAAATACTTGAGAATATGACAAATTACGGCTTACATCTAAAAGTATTCAACAAAGGCCCTTATTCAAACAATCCACCTTTCATTCTGGTCTTACGAAAAACATGAAAACGAATAACAAGGGATATGAATAATTTAGTTGTTAACTGTACTTGTTTTTTAATGTTATACCAAGAGTATCAAAAATGTGCTAAATAAAGTCTTGATTGTTCATGTACGTTAAAAGACAAGAGTTGCTGCTACCCTGTTTGGCCTTCAACAATAAGGGATAGAGCAACGTCGATCTGGCGCTGCTCAGTGGCTGCCGGGTTCATGATCAAATGGGCAAAAAGAATTTACATTTTCGGTTTAACTTAATAAAATTTGGAGTGGACTTTAAAAGATTATTATTATTACATGACAAAATCAGTAAGAGATTTATGAATGTATTTTGATCATGATACTAAATCTCTGTCTGTCTGTCTGTGTTTCTGTCTGTCTACAGCGGGTACAATAGCTCGTATGTATCGTGATTCTCGTAAGGCCGAAGCCAGCAAGCCTCACATCAAGCGGCCTATGAATGCATTCATGGTTTGGGCGAAGGAGGAGAGGAGAAAGATCTTAGCCAGACATCCTGATATGCATAACTCCAACATCAGCAAGATACTGGGTAAATACTAACACTTTGTTTCATACATTGATCTACATTTGCCACACTCAACCCAGGTGATGCAGATTGGTACCTGGCAGGAATTAAAGGCCGTCAGTACTAGTTTAGACAGGGGGATTAGACCACGCATCAAGGTCACTGACAGGTGGCTATCTCATTAACTCAGCTCTCAATTAGCATAAGAAAAAGAGGATCATGGGAGAGCAACAGGCACCGATTAGGCATTGTTTTCTATATAGAGGGAGCAAGTAGCTACAAGTAGTACAGTGGGCCTTTAATTCCTTGAAATGCTGGAGCGCTGTATAAACGGCAGCTAGGCTAAAGCCGGGTAATAATAAATGCGCCTCGGAATAGAATTATCTAGATAGACAGTGATATAGAAATGCCTATTATTATTATTATTATTATTAAAACTAGAATCTTATGCGACTTCAGCCTTTCGTAAAAGACAGGGATTTTCATGGTGAGACACTTATGTGAAGTGCCAAAATCAAAGGAAATTGCATGTTTTGTCTCATTTAACTCCATTCATCCCTGAACATTCAGTGTTATTATGAGCCACTTATGCGGTGATTATCATTAAATATTAGATCTTGTGCCAAGTAATTGTTGTAATGCACAAGTTATCCTTTGCATCGTTAGCAAGGACGTTGAATTCTGAAAACTTTCACATAAAATTCCCTTTTTAACTTGAGTTAGTAATAATTATGGACATATATATCTGGATACATCTTTTTCGCGTAGTATCAACATGTGTAACCATTTCCTTTCAACTGGGCTATCACCTTTTTGAATAGCATATCTGCATCGGTTTAAAGGTATCCGATAACTTTGTCTCAGATTCTGAAACAAAATCCTTGATTTAGCTCATGCTGCAATGATAATTATAAACCTTTAGGTCAGTCAGGAACCCCATGACTTTTACAAGCCGATCGCCTGTCTGATTATCAAGATATTTATGATTGGAATTACAAATTTTGAAAACCGTTTGCCAACGGTTTTCATAACACTACAGCCTATTGGGGAAAACGAGTATGGTAAAACCGGTCACTCAAAGATTTTTACTTTTTTGAGGCATTTCTTGATCATTTTGAAGCGCAAGTTTTTTTTAGGGCTTCAATATTACACCATATCACGTAGGGCTATGCGTCTCAGATTTAACATTGTTAAGCAATTCCTTTAATACTTCATGAATTAGTTTTTACTATCTCACTCCTAAACATTCAATATTTCTTTGTAGGTTCCAAATGGAAGACTATGTCCAATGCTGAGAAGCAACCCTACTACGAGGAACAAGCCCGACTTAGCAAAGCTCATCTCGAGAAGTATCCGGACTACAAGTACAAGCCGCGCCCTAAGCGAACGTGCATCATCGACGGCAAGAAGCTTAAGATCGGCGAGTACAAGGCTCTCATGCGAGCCAAGCGTCAAGAAGTTAGACATGTATATTACACACGCGACGGTGAGCATATGATAAGAGCACCCTCTATGGCAACGACACTCAACACGCCTACGTTTCCATTGTTAGACTCGTCGGGTGGGTACACTCTAGCTGGTATCAGACCTCCTACCCTGCCTACCATGGTCGATAGCGCGTCATACGAATCGGAAAATGGAATCGCATGAGAGTGATAGCGCCCTCGCGTCTTATTTCTGTACATCAAAACGGTTTTGTTGTAAAATGTATGATTTCTTAATACTTGCGTTAAGCTTTATCAAATGCTGACTTTTCGTGACGATAGACTGCAACGCTCGCTGCGAATTTTCCATGAATATATGCATACTGTCTAACATTTCAGGTGTATTTTAGATCGGAAAGGAAAATGTGCTGCTAATTGAACCTGGATGGGTTGTGTCGGTCACCCTTGTGGATGTTATAAATGGAATATGTAATGACATTTATGTAATGACGTGTATACTTGTATAGAATTGTTGGATTGTGGTATATGGGTATTATGTGAGAAAGGTTGGGAGTGTTCAGCAGCTTGCAGTCTATCGTTGCATTATATTACGTTTTGAATTACCATACCCACCTTACAAGCATTGTCAAACAACGCCTGACCGGAACGCATAGAATGCGTTCAAACATAGACTATTTATGAGAGATAGAAGAAGAAGTATTTATTTCATGCAGCTATTTTTTTGAGATATTTATCTGAATTGTTATCTAGCCGGTGCATGTCAAATATAAGGAAAGTATTTTGAAACCAGTGCTACCCTTAAGATTGCAGAATACTGTGATCTGTCGGATAGATACATTTCAAATCATTAAACTTTTGTTTGCTGACTGGTCATTTGCAGTAATATTATTACTCATCTGTAGAACGTTTTCAAAATTGTTATTTTTCTTTCTTATAATTGACTTGAACTACGCAATAGTTCTCTTATGATACTGGAACAGGACTTCCTTATAAATGTATGTATGTTTGTATTATTGTATATAAATGTAGTTGTGAATGCTCAAATTTTTCTTTGGGTTGTGTTTGTACAAAAATGATAAAATACAATCGAGAAAAAAAAAAAGACAAAAATGTGGAGCAACTTTGACAAAAAAAGGTAAGCCGTGCAAGAGTTACGTTTGCAACTGAATCAACGAAACTAAACTGATTAGATGTAAGATTAAGATAATGAGGATAACGAAGGAAGTCTAATTAATAATGAGAGTTTTTTGTACCATACCTCATACTAATTGCTTCATGTGGTTTTAACAGTGTGATGTTTTGTGACTTTTGCATGGTGTACGCATATTATATCGTGTGATTGGACGTGGTCATTAGATTTAGATGTCTAATGACTGGATAGTAGAAATGCATATTCGTGATCATGCTAGTGGTAGACAGAGAATGTGGACTAAACACAAATTATAAGCAAGCATCATGATATTAGAAGCATATATATATATATAAATATATCTATCATGGGTGGACACTGTGACAATTGTCTTAGTATTGATGAATATGTATGAGCTAGAATGTGACGAATCATGGATGGCCGGTGTATTAGAAATCATGAATTATGCATTAGTTTTCATGAATTATGCATGATGCCTATGACCATGCTTTTTGTGTACTGGAAACCACAATCTTTTTTACCCTTTGTGTAGCTCTTAATAGTTGGGTGACGCTTTGCTCTCAAACATTATAGTTTCCATGTTGAGAAAATTGAACTTTTTATGCTCTATCGTTCACCTTGATTCTTTAGTATAAGTTTGTGACTCTGTAAATATAGTATTTACCATTTTTTATAGTACACTGTTTAGGTTATACTTGGTATTTCATATAATTTATATTTACACACAAAATTGCCCTGCTTTAGCATTAGAACGCAAACCCTGTTATTTCTTCTGCTGTACTGTTACATATCTGTATTTTTATGCGGCTCTGTAACATAGTCCCATAGCTTCATTTTGGTGTTGTTTTTATTTGTCCTCTCCTAATCTTGCCTGCTCTCGCTTGCAGTATTTTATATGTATTCACCCGTGATGGTATTCAGTTCTGTTGACCCATTTTTTTTCATTTTCATTGCCAAATTTGCATTTTTTTGTGCCCCCTAAATGCCATCGCCATAATATTTTCTTTGAAAACTATCGGTTGATATAGCCCTTACTTTTTCTAATCATTTGTATACAAAGTTTTTTTCCCAAAGATGTTTTTATGTAAATTTCCTCTTCCTTTTGAAAAGTGCAAAAAGACTTTTTTAGAGAGTAAATTAAGCACTTGAAACAATTTTGTTTACTCCCCCTCAGTTTGGCAATATAACATCTCATGTGTGAATGTGTCGATATCCGTAAGGTGTTAAACAATGTGCTATTGTCTCTTGAAATCTGTGGAAAAACTGTATTGTCAAAATAATAATCTTGCATCGAATAACTTATGTGTATGTAATATACTGACAGATGACATAATGCAAATAAACTTAGTCTGTGGTAGTGAATGTATTGTAATCGAACTCAGCATTGTAGAATGTATGTGTGTTGAATCGTCCTACCCCTAACATATTCTATGGATTTCGTGGCGTAGAAATATCTTATTCTGTCTTGCCCGTGTCGTCATGGAAATGTAGGTCGTCAGGTCGTCGTAATAGCAACCCCTTCCAACCCTGTACTGTACATAACAAACAGACATGTACTTCACACTGGTCGAGATCTTAAGATTCGAAAAATGAGCTCGAAAATGAGCCTCTAAAGTAAACCAACATTGTTGATTGTTTCCCCGCAGAATAATACCAGAGCTTCTTTCAATTGAGAAGGTTTTTTTAATAACTTGAACAGAAGGCGTCGCTTGTCCTTGTATCATATTGATAATGGGCAATCCTTTTCAATATGTTTGTCTGATTTTGTTTCCTATAGCCGGTATGACATTTTGATAAATCCATTGTAGATATTCTCATTTTAAATCTGGAAACATTTTGCTTAATTCATCTTAGAGAATAGGAAAATAATCACTATTTTAGGTCTTCCAGTAATGATGCGATAAGGAAAGCAAACAAGCTTTGAAAGTCAATGTATGGGACCGTGGTTTAAAATAGGGGCAGGAATGTACGCAGATTTGTTTCCATATTTCATTTTGATAAGCTATGATAGCTTCAAAGTAATGCTTCATTATGAGGGAAGATAAGCAATGGCTTTATTTTTCAAAGAGAGTTCAATTTGCTTTGAATTCTAAGAAAATGATATATAAATATCCATAAGGTCCATGAAAGTTTGTTACATACAGGGGATGTGAAGGGGGATGAGTTTTAATAGGACTGCTAAAGTTAGATACTTACTTGACATCTGTTCTTGTAAATTTACGGACAGAATTGCATCATGGGTAAATTAATATCACTCTAATGGTAGTCTTGTTTGCCGTTCTCCGAATGAATTGTGGGTAAGCGAGGCGACCGTGATGGATGCAACTCTGTCTGTGATAGCTGCTCTGGTCTGGTTTAGAGCTGATCGTAGTAGTTTGTAGTAAAACAGTCAATGTTTGTGAACGAGTGTAGAATCAGTTGTTCATCTAGACTTAGTCATGCATATCAGAGGAAAGGAGAACGTTTTGTGTTCCTGTGTCATTCATTGCAGATCGTGTCTAAGAGAGAGAGAGAGAGAAATAGATTTACTTATCAGATAGCCAAAATAGATTATTTAGATTTTATGACTATGTTGCTTCTACCTCAGATCTGTGTTTACGAATCAAAGGCTTGTATTTAGAAGGACAGCTTCTCGTCTGGTTTCAGTTTGAAGATTTATAAACAATCCAGAAAGATAGAGAGAATATATATGATTGTATGTTTGGGACCAGTACGGTGTGAACTTGAAGTTAACCCTCTTCTGGCCCGAAATAGACTACTTCAACTTCAACAATATCTTTTCATATATATTGACGGAGAAGCAAACCATTTGGGGGTTATAACAACTCACTAACATTTGTCCTGTTATGAAAATAAAGAGGTATGGTATAGACTGAACTGAATACACAGTGATAAATAAGACAATTTTTTTTGTTACTCTGTGTTTATTCATTTCAGAATTTTTTTTCTGGCTTGATAAACTTACATGGCCGCCAAGTCTTGTAATATCCTGTCAAAATTGAAAGACCGTGGAAGTAAAAATGTCTCATGATATTTCCTTTAACTTTTGTAACTTGTGCCAAACTACAGAAGAGATTTATTTTATTTACCCTTTGAAATATTTTAAAAGTTGCTTTATTATAGATAAAGTTTGGATGAATTGATTATGTACCATGTTTTGTGTTTTAGTATTAGCATATCCCTGGTAGCCCTGCACCAATCAAAACATCTCTTGTAGGCCTGAAATGAATATTCATGACTTCTGTGTTCTTCCTAATGTAAAGATTGACCAAAGCAGTTGATTAGTGGAATATTTTGTTCAATTTGTAAAGGGGCTTTAATGAATGATATAAAAGAAAGTTGTAGAAGAATTTCACAGAGTGTATTACTCCAATAGACTTAATTGCTACCTCACAAACCAGTTTGTTTTGCTCAAAAATACCTCGTTATATGGACATATATTATTTCATTTTGACCCACGTTTCCCTCAAAAAGAAATGAAATACTTTATCAAGGGTTTTTTTTTTGTTGCCCTATAACGCTGTACAAAAAAGCTTTGCTTTGGTGCTCATATAGAGTATTTGACTGTGCTGATCCAATCAGAACTGAAATTGGCAAAATATACTGCGTTTTTAGTAAATATCTCCCGACTGATTTATATGATGAGTATCTTCATAATAAATCTAATTCTTTCAAGTCTCAAAGCAGCTGAAGTGGCTGGATTGAATAACACAATCATTTGTTCTGTCTTTTAAACAATTTTGTTAATAATTTGATGTCATTTTGAATAGGTTTATTGTGTTGTATTCTACCATCTTATCAAAGGAGTATGTGCTGTATTATGTACATAGTGTAATCTCTATACATTATGCACAACTTATGTGTTTATTTTTTAACAAATAATTGTATTGTGAATAAAACAGTTTTATAATTATGATAATGCATTTCTATAATTTCATGTGTTTAGCTGTTACATTAATTTGGTTTTAATCTGAATAAGATTATGTTGTGTACAGTTTATTTATTTGTTAGTATGTTTTAATATTAATGAATTTGGACATATTAAAACAAAATTTAATTGTTTAAAAACATCATCTTTACAAAAGGAAACGATGATTTGCTTTATAATGCTCTCAATAACTAAATATCTCCCCATTTACATTGTTTAAAAAAAAAATCTTTAGATATCTTGTTTCTATCTGTCTGTCTACATTTTATTATCTCTTTCTTGAAATTTGTCTTCATCTTTCCTTTTCTATTTTTCTTCCTTTATACTCTTAGTTTTTTTTAAATCTTACCCTTCTCTCTCTCTCTCTCTCTCTGCTCTGTATCTAAATAAAGATCTAATGTGTACTGGTCCTTCTTGAATTAATTTGTTTAAACAATGTTTTTTATGAATAAATTTTGTAAAAACATTTTGTTCGCTAAGACAACAACAATTTCCCCCACCAAAATATGTAGTATTTGTAAGATGAATTGAATTAGTGTATCATTTTAGTCAAATATGTATCTATGTATCAAATGATTATTCAAATATGTTTGTTTTGGAACTCCAAGTGTGCCATTATCTCTTCATTTTATCCTTCTGTAAATATTTCTATTTCATTTTTTTCTTAAGAGGTGTTTTGTGAATCATACGGGTTAAAAATATGTTACATTGTGGGTTTGTTGGGCAGGCGAGGGCGCTGTTTGCTTGGAATGCTCCTCAGTTTATCATCTTTAGCCAAAGTGCGTTAACCCTTCTGACCTGCTGCTCACAAAATAAGAGGGCTCAACAGAATGCGCTCAAATGTGTTTTTTTTTTAGACGGCCCTCATGTATGCCAGCATCAATTTTCCAATGACCAACACATTTATAAATGCATTGATCATGAAAATGTTATTGTTTTATTCATTAATCATGAATAATTTATCAAGCGCTTTAAATTAGTCCCACCTATAAAATAACATGTACTTAATTAATGATTACCATGGTGCATGGACATTAACTCTCAGTTTTGCTTCAAAATATGAGCATATTGTAATATGATGCATTAATAATTTTGTTTAATAATTCAATAACTACACACATTAATTTTTGTTTGTACAATTTGTATCACATGAAACTACAGTATTTTGATAACACAATTGAACATTGAATTCCATTTTCTAAAGAGAAGTTTCATTTGTTTCATTTTTGTATTTTTTCTTTGAATTTATAGGATACCGTAATAGGAAACTGGTGCTTATTAACCTACACCAAAAGATGAGTGAGATTTTTAAAATAATTTTTCCATTTGAAAATTTGTAAGGCTCAAATATGAAGCAAAGAGGGTCATGTCATATTGATGTGTAATACTGTATGGGGTGCTATACTGCTTGTTTTACTTAACTAGGATTATTTTGTTGTATTGCCAAAGTTAGTCTTTTTCCAGTCATTGAATGGTAAAGAATAACATCACAGAAATGTTTCTGGAGGTTGCTATAAACTGAGCGCTAATTTCTCCTATAAATTAAATTGAGTCTACAAGAAAGAGAAATTGACTCACTTCAGTTTTACTTTTACAGCAATGAATATACCATTCAATGCCTGGAAGAAGACTGAAGTATAAAACCTTAACGACAGAGGGCGTAATCGATGATCAGACTCGGAGCCAGTGAGTTTGGCCAAATAGGTTTCTATCAGGTTTATATAATGACCTATGTTGCTATGTTGGACAAGCAAACAATAATCATTCTCTCTCAGAAACCTATTTACCAAATTCTCTGATTCTGGGCATGATTATTTTTACATTATTGGACCGCATTATGCCCTCTCGATCCAAGCAAGCCGTTATGTAATATTTATATTGTCAGCTTACTCAACCTTATATTTTGTTTTACTCATATTAAGTCAGTTTAATGGCATTATTTGTGAATATAGTTTTTCTGTTTATTTGCTCTCCCTAAAAAGAAAGATGATCTGATGTATCTGTTAACTGTAGAATGATTGTATTTGTGCTGCCATAGGCTCATCTGTATTCTTCTCTTCATCATGGGAGGACAAAATATGAAAAGAAAATGACATTAAAAAAAAATGAATAAAAGTGACAGAGTATGAAAAGTTGTGTGTGGACCTGCTTTTTGTTTTAGGTGATAATCGTTTCCTGTTTCAGTGATTACTGAATAACCAAATTCCTAACTTCAACCCAGGAGCCAGCTCTATTGCTTATGCTAAGAGAAGGGCTTGCAGGTGCTTACTAAGCTCTGTATTGCAGGCCTGATAAAAACCTGATTTAAATCAGTTTCCTGATTTTTATTTTTTTTTCCCCCATTTTTTTTATTCCCTATTTTCCCAAAATTTTCTTACTCAAAAGGGGGGAATGTTGTTAGATGCCATTTTTCCTCTCCGAATCCTCTTCTTTTTTCTTTTTTTACTCAAGGGGGGCGTGGTTGCGGAACCCCCCCCCCCCCTTTTTTTTAGTGCTCACTATCACCCCTGGTATTGTAAGATACAGAAATGTGAACCGTATGCGTATAAACGAAATAAAGCCTCAAAGAATTGTCGCCAGAGTAAATGTATGAGCATCAAGAAAGGTTGGATAGATAATAGTGGGGAAGATTGACTATTTACTAATTGACCTGTTCATTCATTCATTCAAAACGGTTTATTTCAAATAAAACTTTCATCGCAGCGCGGTTTAGCTGAATTACAAAAGTTTACAAACAAAATTAATAACACATAATGTAAATATAACATTATATTGAATCTGAAAAATAAATCGGTCTAAATACGAGAAATATCTCTTATTGCAACATATGGAAACAAACATTAGAAAGAAATCAGAATTATCATAAAGAACTATAATAGTTCTACTGAAATCATGTGAAAGAAAAAGGACTGAAGTGAGCAATAAAAGGAGCAAGTGTATGTGGTGGAAAATATTGAGAGTAGACCTGAACAGTGAGGAGAAAAGTTTGCAAATACAAGGTAAATTATTGAAATTAAGAATGGGAGAGATTTAAAGAGGAAGAGTAAAGGCCGAGTGAGGGAAGGTGTGGTAAAAATCTGTAGAAAGTGAAGACGGAAAAAATGCATATAGGAGGATAAGAAAGAGAAGGGAAAAGAAGAAGACAATGAAGAAAAAGAAAGGGAAGGTAAAGTTAAAAGAGTAAAAGAACAAAACAAAGTGAAAATATACAACCATGCCTAAAGTGGACAAGAGATGGGGGTGTAGTTTGGATAAACTAGCAACTAATAGGTAGATACATAGATTTGTATAGTAAATAATAAAACCAGTTCTGATTTTTCTGGTCGTCAGAACTACCTCTTACACACGGGGTACCTCAGGGATCTATTCTTGGCCCCATACTATTTCTTATGTTTATTAATGATATATACCCTCTTGTTTTGAAAAATATTCGGTTCACACTTATATTATTCAGATAAAGACCCTTGTAATATTGAAATTGTTTTGAATATTGAATTGCATAAGTTATATTCTTGGATGAATTGTAATAAGTTAAAAATAAATTCTACTAAGACTGTTAGTATGCTGATAGGCACTAAATATATGTTGAACAGACACAGTAGGTTGAACTTAAAAATTAATGATAATGATATTGTTCAAGTTGACAAATATAAATATAGATATAGGTATTTTTATTGACTGTGAATTAAAATGGAATATACACATTGATGAATTATGTGAAAAGGTTGGAAAACTATTATGAGGGTGAATAATTAAGAAATTTATCAGAATAAAGCAGAAGATTAGAAGATTATAATGAAAAGGGGGCAACAATTAAAACAAAAGTCAGGATGTAAGTCAGGATGTAGTCAGGATGTCATCCATAAGTCAGGATGTAGTGCAAGGGAGAAGGAGAAGGAGAGGGAGAAGGAGAAGGAGACAGAGAAGAAGAAGGAGAAGGAGCAAGGGAATCTGAGGGCACAACAACAAGTATCTAGGCCTACCACCAAATATTTCCCGACAATTGCTACGCATAACCGGTTTCAAATATTATCCGAGAACACGAAATCAGACAACAGTGCCAAGAGTGTATCAATGCCAATGAAAGATCAACTTCATGAATACAAGGCCAAGCACCTGAAGTTGTTCTCCAAAACCAACATCACCCATCCTGAAGTTCTCTCTGATGACGCAACTGATGACAGCGACGCAACTGTTGACAGCGACGCAACTGATGACAGCTCAGGCCGATCTTTGTCAACACCTACTAGTACTACTTCTACTTCACCACCATACCATGAGCAGATAGAGGGATACCGCCACCGACATAGTGTGATCCGCAACAAACGAGATGTAATTGTGGTCGGTGATTCCATGATTAAACACATTGACGGAAGACATCTCTCCCGCAGCAAGAACGTGAAGTGCGTCTCTTTTCCCGGTGCAAAAGTGAGAGACATCTTCACCTCTTCACCTTGCGAGTTTCTCAAGCCAGGGGGAGAACTGATCATCCACGCTGGCACCAACAACATCTCTGAGGGTGCTGGTGAAGTTTGCCACCAAATCACAGACCTCGGCAAGTCTGTTGCTGCCGAGGGGTTTAACGTCTCAGTCTCTACGATCATCCATCGTAGATGGGAGAGTGAAGCGGACAAGAAGCGGGTTGATGAGATCAACTATCTGATGGAGTTGGCAGCCAGCGAGAACAGATGGGGCCTCATCATCAACAATGATATCAGCGAGCAGCATCTCGGGCGTGATGGCGTTCACCTCAACAGAGCCGGTCAACGAATCTTGGCAGGCAACCTGAAACACCTCATCAACAGTGCTGACCAACCGACAACACGAGGCCATGGCTGGACTCAACGGTCGTCCGATCAAGTTACAGGCAGTGAACCTGGAGCAAGGCGGCATCAAGCCATCTACCGAGAAAACCAGAGTCTTCATTCTGATGAGGGAAAAAGCAGCCCCGTAAAGTCCTACGCCGAAGCTGTTTCTGGGAAATCTTTGGATTTCAGTGCAGTCAAACAGAGGTCACGACTGAAACCAGCCTTCAGACCATCCAAGGTGGACATGAAAGACTGGGCGAATTATCTTCAATTTGTAAGAAGGGTATTGAATTAAATGAAAGTTTGACAAAATCTAGTGATGATCCGAAAATTATAGTTGACGGTCGAAAATATAAGTTCCCTTGTGGGAACTGTGATAAGCCAGTCAAATGTAATCAACACGGCCTTCTGTGTTCTTATTGTAAAAAATGGTTTCACACTAATTGTCAAGCTATCAGTTTTTCAGAGTACCGCAGGTTATATTAATATGAATGCCCTGATGAGAAGTGGAATTGTTTAACATGTTGTCTGCCATCTTTTTGTGACTCAATATTTACTGACGATTGTTTAGAGAAAGAAAGCCAAAACGAGGATAGACTAAAAGAAAACTATTTTAAGGTAACGCGCGTTACACCTGAAAAGCAAGCGATAGCAAGAATAATTCAGCCAAACCTCAGAGATGAAAACACTTCTCTTTATCAAGAATTTGAAGAAAAGTTCAAAATTAAAGGTCTTCATTTTTTGCACCTTAATGTGAGGTCTATTCTAAACAAGATATCGGAACTTAGAATTCTTTTTAAAAGAAAAAGGCTGTCTATTATTGCTTTCACTGAAACATGGTTAAACAATTCCATAAATGATGAAGAAATTGAAATAGACGGATATAAAATCATACGCCATGATCGATCCTCTGGCTCTGGAGGTGGTGTATGTTTCTATATCAGAAATGATATTGCATTTAATATTATGGATGCTATAAGTACTAGAGATACGGAATCTCTGTGGATAAATTTGCTTATACCAAGATCAAAACCAATTGTTGTTGGCGTTCTGTATCGACCTCCGAAAAACAATTTGTTTATCGAGAAATTGTCCAATATTCTTGATACATTAAAGAAGGATGACGAAATAATTCTTTTAGGAGACATGAATATTTGTCTTCTTCGCAAATCGCCACTGGCTAAAAAATATATTGACTTGTTGAGTCTTCATGGGTTTAGTCAACTCATTAAAGAGGCAACACGCGTTACACCTACATGTTCTTCTCTATTGGATCATGTTGGTTGTACCAAAGAAAATAAAATAAGTCAAAGTGGTGTCATTGATCTAGGTATTAGCGACCATTATTTTACTTTCTGTACACGGAAAAATGTTAGACTGGCTATAGGTCATCACAGGACTAATGATATCAGATCCATGAAAAAATATACAGAAGAGTCTTTCAATCTTCAACTATCTGTTGTTGATTGGTCACGAATAACTGACTGTACAGATGTAAATGAGGCATGGTCAATATTTCAACATGTTTTTATCTCAAATTTGAATATGATAGCGCCACTGAAACGGATAAGAATAAAACAAAGATCAGAAACTTGGGTGACTAAAGATATTCTTTCCCTAATTCAAGAGAGAAATATAGTATACAAAAAATGGAGGAAAAGAGCAAAAGATGAGAAGCTCTATAAAAGATACAGAGTATTAAGAAATATGGTCCAAAGAGAGGTGAAAAAGGCTAAACTCGTTTACTTACAAAACAAGATCGAAGAAAATAAACAAGATTCGAAAAAACTTTGGCAGAATCTAAAAAGCTTAGGATTGAAAAATAAGAAGCGAAAAGAACAAGAATCTGTCATTAAAATTGATGGGGAATTATGTCATGATAAGATGGCCATCGCTGATGAATTCAATTCTCACTTCACAAATGTGGCTGCCAAATTAGTAGACAAACTCCCCCCTTCCAAAGACTTTTTCAGCGCAGACAATGATTGTATTCGTGACTTTTACGAAAGAAAAGGTGTACGTGAAAACAGCTTCGAGTTATTACCAATCAGTGAACAATTTGTTTTCAAAGAGTTACGTAAGTTGAATGTATCAAAAAGTACTGGGTTAGACTTGATTCCAGCTAAATTTCTAAAAGATGGTGCGAAGGTTTTATTTAAGCCTCTAAGTTACTTAATGAATCTATCTATCTTGACGAGTACTTTTCCAGAGGATATGAAAATAGCAAAAGTGACTCCACTTTATAAAAAGAAAGATAAAACTGATGTTAGCAACTATAGACCTATTAGTGTTTTAAGCGTAGCATCAAAGATTCTAGAAAAATCGGTCTGTGTTCAAATTGAAAGATACTTCAAAGAAAATGATATAATTTATGAATTTCAATCTGGTTTTCGACATGATTATTCGACTGAAACATGTCTAATTCATTTGACTGATTATTTGAGGAGAGAAACTTCCCAAGGGCGCTTTGTTGGTATGGTGCTCCTTGATCTGCAAAAAGCTTTTGATACAGTTAATCATTGCGTCTTATTGAAGAAGTTACAACTAATGGGTTTTGATAAGGCAAGTTTAGATTGGTTTAGATCCTACTTATCTAATCGGCACCAAGTAGTGGCCATTCATGATATTCGTTCCAAACTAATGCCTATAACTTGCGGTGTTCCTCAGGGAAGCATTTTAGGCCCAATTCTATTTTCAAGTTATATAAATGATATGTGTATTTGTATAAAAGACTTCAAACTATTATTGTACGCAGATGACAGCGTACTACTCTATTCAAATCCTGATCCTAAATATATTGAGGAAAAGCTCAGTGAACAGCTGTCTACGTGTGTCGATTGGATGACTGATAATAAGCTTTCTCTACACTTGGGAAAAACAGAAAGCATTTTATTTTGTTCTAAAAGTAGTTCTAAAAAGTCATTTGAATTCAAAGTGACACACAATAATCAAGCAATCAAGAGAAAAGAGTCTGTGAAGTATTTAGGCATTGAGTTGGCTAGCGCAATTTCATTTTCATCTTTAGTAGAATCAGTTGTAAAAAAAGCAAATTCTCGTCTGAAATTTTTGTACAGATATCAAAGTTGTATGGATTTAAAAGCAAGACGTACACTCTGTTTTGCTCTTATTCAATGTTTATTTGACTATGCTAACCCTGCATGGTATAGTAACATAAACAAGTCAGATCAAAAGAAGTTGAAGATTATACAGAACAAAATGGTGAGATTTATCAACTGTTCTGGTCCAAGAACTCATGTTGGCTACAGCGAACTTTCTAAAGCTGGTTTTCTTGAAGTCGACCAAAGATCAAAACAACTCGTATTGCATCATGTGCATAAAATATATCATACTAGGTCGAATCATTATATTCGATCCAACTTCGATCTTGTTACTGACGTACATGATTATAATACAAGAAATAGACGATTCAACTTTAACTTACCAGAAAGAGTAGGTAGTATTGGAAATTCGTTTTATTACAATGCCATAAAACATTGGAATTCCCTTCCCAATGGTGTAAAAGAAATAGGAAACTATGATCATTTTAAGAGGAAATTAAAGGAATACCTAATACTTGACAGTCAGACAAGAGAAGTGAATGACATGTTATATGATTGAAATTTTTATTCTTCTGTCGGTTCATACTTTTTCATGTTGTATATATACTTATGTTTTCGTACGTTATAGAAATTCTACAAATTCATCATTATTTTCCTCTTCTTCCTTCTCCTCTTTTTCTTCTTCTCCTTCTTCTTTTTCTTCTTGTACTAAATATCATTTCTATCATCAGTTTAATGTTGTTATTATTATTATTATCTTTAATAAGTAGTTCTTTTAATTTTCTTATCTGTCTGTAAATATTACTATCTTAACTTATTAATTTTATACATGTCTGTAAGGGACCCCACTGGAAATAAGCTCTCGAGCTTTCGTGGGTTATCCTGTTCAAGCTGACTTATTTTTGATCTGTTATTATTTTATATTGTTGTATGTTGGAAGCTTGTCGAATAAAAATCAATCAATCAATCAATCAAAAATCATATTTTATTTTACAACTTTATTGAAAGTATTTTATTAGTTCACCGCTACCGTAAATGCTATTCATTGACCAATCACGGCCTGCGGTCTTTTCGAAAGTTTACCATATGCAAATCTGTACAGCCCGCTGCAGTTCAAAACATCATTTCATCAAATTTTGTAGCGGCGAAATTCAGCTTTCTAACCGTAATATTGACTTTCATCATTGGTGCCAAGTGGTATGTACTTCTTCGAAATTTATTTTAGGATGTTTTGCTGGTGAATTGATGTGGAAATATACAGATTTTGAAGTGTGAAAACGACAATCATGTGCTGCATTGCGCGCCATTTGTATGCCATACAACGTGTTCAGAGGAAGGTCCTGTCGCCCGAGCTCGGGGCGTGCGGACCTCCCTCCCGCTGTTGCTGGCAGCCGCGCTGCGCCGCACTTCCCACAGTGCACAGCTCAGTTGACGGTAACAATCCAGGAAGCTTCGGCGGGTGCATAGGAAAACATTCAAACAGCGGGTTGGGCGACATTATCTCAAAATATGCAAAGGGAGTAATCAAAATTTTGACTAAGTTAGATCTAGATCTACTAGGTTGCTAACTCCGGGAAGCTCCAACACCGGCGCCGCAGGCCTGCGGCGCCGGTGTTGGAGCTTCCCGGAGTTACTAGGTTGCTTGACTCCTCTGGCCTGGCCTCTGGGCCTCTGGCTGGCCGGGCCGGCCACTTGAAATTATAATTTGAAGAAGTCTTTGAATGCGTAAAAGGGGGTGATTCTTCGTCCTACCCCGACGATTCTTCCATGTTCATGATGTATCGTTGATTCAACATGGCGAAGAGAAAGTACGCATGTGCAGGCTGTTTGTGTCTTGGACTGCTCGTATTAAGAGGAAGTTTGCATGCGGGCGTGGTGCGCATTAGACCAAATTTTTCTGTCTGTTTCGTTCGTTAGCCTCTGATTTGGGTAGGGTCAGCTCCTCTCTTTAGATTTAGAGACAGAACAGGCCCATACGCTTTAGTGTTCATGTTCTGTGTAACGTTTCTTCACACCAAACATGGCAAAACTACCGGCCAAATTCCATATTTCACAGGATGCACATATCCGGTGCATCTTATTTCGAAAATTAGGTATAGTCTAGGTCTAGCCTAGGCTTAACTACTTCGGTGCCACTTACCAACTTGACTGAAGTAATCCGTTTAATGGGCCCTTTTTAGGAAATTATGGGTCAAAATCGACATCCATGTTGAAAATCTTGCAGCCGTATTTTAAACTCTCGCTGCGCATGACGTCATCTAAATCTCATCCCTTTTAGTCCAACGCCGAAGGCAAAATGATTATGAAGGAAAAACTGCACGAGCTACTTCATTACGAACTCTTAGCTCGTGCACAGTTTTTCCTTCATAATAGTCTAGTAAATAATTAAATCAGTTCTGATTTAAATAATTGTCCGGGAACACAACCTGTCCAGACCAGACACAACAACGTCTGGTTGAAGCGGGTATATTAAATTTACTCAGATATTTCTCACTAGCCTTCTTTCCTTTTTTCAATAATTCTTTTGACCTTTTCAGATAAAGCTCGACCTACTAATGTCCACATCAGGAGAGAAGAGGAAGAAGGATAGTATAGGAGCCAGCTGCAGGAGGAAGAAAGGTAAGCTCATCAAATCATCAGGGGGGGGGGGGGCGTTTCACAAAACTTGTCATCAGTGACAAATAACAGTTTTTGTTATAAGCTACTGAATCCTTGCTTCTGATTGGTTATTAACAGATTTGTCACTGATTATTGTTATTTGTCATTGAAAAAAGGCTTTGTGAAACGGGCCCCAGGATCGTCAATATTAAACTCAAAGTCTCAAATTTGTTTGTTTGTTTTACCTGACTGCTAAGAAAGAATGTGTATGCTTGTAAGTAAGCAACCAGGGGACCGACGGCTTGAAGTCCTCTCCGAGGGATTTGGAAATGAGGATTAATCCCTTGAATCTCCCAGATACGAGCCATTAAAGTGCAAGTCCACTCCAAAAATAACTTACTTTCAATAGAGGCAGAAAAATCTGACGAACCAATCAACAAAATATTGAGCAAAATCGGATAACTAATAAGAAGTTATGAAATTTTGACTTGTCTTTTAAGTCTCTTCCTCAGGTGACTACCTGTGATAATCAGAAAACCTTGACAATCAGAAAAGGGTTAATAAATATTTGCGCAAAATTTTGTGAAACAAATTGTAAGTTATGACAGTATATCCTGGCTGAAAGTGTGCAAACTTTTGATTTCCTTTGCAAGCACCTCTGATCTCATTTGTTTTGAACGAATATTTGCAAAAAATATCAAAACTTTTACTTATGATATAAGAGTAGGATATACATGTAGGGAACCTCTGAGAAAATGTTACCAAAATTCCTATAGTATTATTTAATGCAGAGATTATTAGGCGAAATTGGAAATTGGTTGATCATTAAGTAAAAAAATAAATAGACAATTTAGCTTGCAAAGGAAAATCTTAGAGGCCTCTTTGTGTAGTGATATCAACAACTTTCTTATTCAAAGGATTCTTCTGAAAGTGACATGTACTGGGGCCCGTTTCACAAAGCCTATTTTCAATGACAAATTACAAAAATCAGTGACAAATTTGCTAATAACCAATCAGGAGCAAGGATTTCACTAGCTTTTAAGTACAAAAACTGTCATTTGTCACTGATGACAAGTTTTGTGAAACGCCCCCCTGATCTGTCTCTTTCAATTTTCTGCTTTCAGTGAAATCAGTAAATTCAAAGTTGACTCCACAAATTCTAGGATCTAGTCTTACCCTAACAGGAAAATAGAATGTGACATGTTTCAACAAGTTACTGAAAGGGATTGGGTAACTTTGTCTCAGATTCTGAAACAAAATTCTGGATTTAGCTCATGTTGCAATGATAATTATAAACCTTGAGGTCAGTCAGGCACCCCATGACTTTTACAAGCCGATCGCCTATCTGATTTTCAAGATATTTATGATTGGAATTACAAATTTTGAAAACCTTTTGCCAAACAGTTTTCTTAACACTACAATCTGTGGGGGAAAACGAGTACCGGGTATGGTAAATCCGGTCATGCAAAGATTTTTACTTTTTTGAGGCACTTCTTGATCATTTTGAAGCACAATTTTTGTAGGGCTTCAATATTACACCATACCACAGATGCTGATAAGTGATAACACGTAGGGCCGTGTATCTCAGATTTAACATTGTTAAACGATGCCTTTAAAGCTGCTGAGCATTTCTGATAATCCCATATATATGATAACTATAGTTCTTGTGCCCCTTAAATCATATTTTTGATGCAGTTTTGTCCTTCTTTGTTGCACATGTATATACAGTGTATACAAATATCATATTTTGTAACGGGGATTGCCATTGATAAGCCTGTAGCCTTTGCAAATCCAACCTCATTTGAATTTGTTGTATTTTATACTTATTATTTTCTCTTTTAATATATTATGGTATTGTCATTTGTGGTTGTTCTTATTCGAATGTGAAAATAAAATAAATTGAATTGAATTGAATTTGTCTGTTTATTTTGAACAGTTCGGAAATCAATGAGCTGGCGTGAGAGCAAAGAGGCCATCAAACAAGACTTGGAGAAATTCTTTCAGGAGAAGTTTACAAGCGGTGCTAAAATGGAGCGTAAGCGAGAGAAGATCCTGACAGAGATCTTTGCATCAGAACGACGGTACTTGGAACAGTTGGATATTATCATCACTGTAAGTAATCTTGGAGAACCCCAAATATATTGAGACATGGTTTTGTGGCTAAAACGACTGGCCGCAGGCTACGCTGACTGGACTTAAATTCTGGTTTAACTTAACTGGACTTTCAGAAACAGAAATGGAGAGTTAAACCCAACTTAGACTGGAACTTAAGTTATATCCGACTTTGTCAACCCTCCTGTTTGATGTTTTTGATTAGTTACTTTATTTGCAATGTTTTGTTTGTTATATATTTGTAAAAATGCAAAAGAAAAAGAAAATCAATCAGAAATAAATAAATCAAAGCCAATCAAATCAAATGATACAATACACAATCCATTGAATTCATTTCTGTGTAATGTTTTCTATCTTTTTTCTATCTGCAGCATTTCATAAAACCATTGAGACAGCTGGGTATCGTGCCTGAGAATGATATTCGTATCATGTTTGGAGACATCACTGCTATCCAAGCAATCAACAAAGAGCTCTTAGCTCACATGGAAGAGATGAGTATCGGTGAAGCATTCCTACAGCTAGCTCCTTACATCAAGCTCTACTGTACCTATGCTAATAACTTTGAGAAGGCTGTCGATCTTCTACAGGTATGCATAATAGGCCATTTTCATAATGTAATCAAATTTGATGCACAAGTCTTAAAGTGCCATGTTACAAATTATTATCAAAGCGCTTGCTGACAACCTCATTTCATTTGCCCTGATACATGTTAAGGCTGTGCACAACAGTGTAATGAGGTACCCGGGTACACTCCCAGGCTTACAAGGGAATACTTGATTATTCGGACGTCATGTTTTTTTATTATTTTTTTTATTTTTTTTATTTTTTTTAATTTTTTAAATTTTTTTTAAATTTTTAAATTTTTAATTTTTTTTGCCACCACCATACCACTGGAGCAGTATCCCAAGTCCATCGCCGAAAACGCATGCAATTTTACTTCGAGTTGCGGTTGAAGGCGTTGATTTAATAATAATAATAACAGTAAACAATGCTGTTTTAAAAACCAAAGATGGCAGAATAATCCATTTTCCTCCGAGTCCAAACAGATATCTGGACATTTGGTTCCAGTTTCTGAGTGGTGAGTTTGACAGTGCTCGAGTTGGGAAACAATTTTTACAGACGGTACCATGCCAGCGGCCGCCGCTCTCCCTGGCACGGGTAAGCGTCGGCCTGGGATTTTTTAATTTTTAAATTTTTTTTGCTGCCGAATATTCGAGCATGAGAAATCGTACTCAAGTAGTTGTAAACCGTGCGGGTACTCAAGCATTTGACTATTTGTCGCAGCCCTAATATTTTTTCCATTCCAATCTCATTTTCCATAGCCTAAAATAAAGGGGCAAGTTGGCTAATTATATTTTACTCTTTCTTTGTGTACTTGCACACAGGAATGGGGAAACAAGACAGCTAAGTTTGTTAGGTTCTTGAGAGAGACGGAGAAGAAAGAACAGTGCCGTAGTCTTACATTGCATGCACTACTCATAACTCCTATTCAGAGAGTTCCAAGGTAAGACAAACAGAATTTGTAATAATTACATGCATCAGTAAAACAGATATACAGTGTGCCCCAGAAAAAACGAAACCGAGAATTATCAATGTTTTATCATAACTTAGTCACATTTATAATTGATAAATGACACATATTTGGAAAGCTTAGATCCTTCTCTTTCCTTTGATGCAACTCATATGATGCATATTTCACGCATGAGTGATTAAAATCAATTTAAAGAGAGGAAACCAACCAGTCATTCGGCGGACGGTATCTGAATTTCAAAGAGAAAATGACATTTCTAGAAAGTTGAGTTTCTGCCCTTTCATATGACACCTCAATCAGGAAAATTGAGCTAGGAATGACAAAGTTCTGTTTGTGTAAAGTAGTGCTTGCATTTTCATAATTTTATTAAACAAATTCCTTTTCACTGGCTGCCTATCGTAGCAACAGGCGGAATTAAGAAAAGACTTAACTCAGTTTCGTTGACAATCAGCCGTAGACGAAAGACTTCATGTGATCATATGGTCTGGTTGTTCCAATAGAAATTGTTGTTCCAGTGTCAAGTTTGACTATCTTTGTTTCCTTCAGATACAAACTCTTACTCAAGCAACTCTTAGACCACACACCGTCTAGCCACGAGGACTATTCCAAAATCAAAGGTATAGTAGCGTACAAATAATACTCAGCAGTGAGGGCATTAGTAAGAATTACCCACACAAGGGACCTTTGGAACAGTCTAACATATATCGCCGATATATATGCGTGATAATATAATTGTGCGCAGGTTAAATTGACAAATTCAAACTAATTGTAAACTTCTCCAATACCCGGCCAAATGTGGGTGACATAAGAATAAAGTTAAAAACCATATGCCAGCCAATCATTAAGTCAAACGTTCGGATCATAACAAAGTGATATAAAACAAATATACCAAGCATTTAGTTCGTAAGAATAGTGGAAATTATATATTTTCGGAGGGACTGCAATAGTTAATATTTTCTCCTCGGTGCTTCGCCCCACAGAAAAAATAGTACTTTGCCAGTCCCTCCTCAGATAAATAATTTCCACTATTCTTTCTCACAGCTTGGTCTATTTGTATACTATAAGGCCAAAAATCAGTAGCTAATTTCATGCCTGCAGTTTTGACCAATCAGATGCCTAGAATCTTGATATGCGGTAGCTATATAATAAATGCTGTTTTGAACATTTCAGACGCCCTTCAAAACATCTCCGAAGTAACGCATGGTATCAATGAGTACATCAGAGAACATGAGAACTTTCAGAAGATGTTTGATATCCAGAATTCTCTGGGTGGCAGGGCTCCTAAACTCATCGTCCCTGGTCGCAAGTTCATCAAAGAGGGCCCACTCATGAAGGTGAGTATGAGTCACTATGAACATGACGGACAAAGAAAGAGGACAAAATATACAGTTCCTCATTCTACCCTCAACAATTGCTGTGGTAGACAAAGGAACATCCCTTCACTGCTATTATGTAAAAATGTGTAGAACAGGTGTCACATGCATGTGACACCTGTTCTACACATTTTTACATAATTACCAAGATTACCGAGAGTCCTTTTCAGGACTCCTCAATCCTCGCTCTCTCTCACATGGTGCACCCGCAAGCCTCCTGTATATCTACATCACCATGCAAGCCGATATTTACATGCAGAATAGATTTTGCATTCAATTTGGTACATAACTTGGCTTTCTTGTGCATATGCTGCAGGGAATATATCTTCCAGACATTTATATGTAAGATAATCCAAAGTTCTTTTGAGCCTTTTGTATTCCATTTTTTCTATATTTTCTGTATACAGGTCACTAAAAATGGCTCCGGGTCCCACGAGCGCATGTTCTTCCTTTTCTCAGACATCTTGATCTATGCCAAGCATAACATGAGCCTAGAGCGCCCCCTACTGGCCAAACCTTACACATGTTCATCTGTATTCTATTCTATTCTTTCTTTATTTTCTGTATACAGGTCACTAAAAATGGCTCCGGGTCCCACGAGCGCATGTTCTTCCTCTTCTCAGACATCTTGATCTATGCCAAGCATAACATGAGCCTAGAACGCCCCCTACTGACCAAACCTTACACATGTTCGTCTGTAATTCAGCTTGAAGATTGTAAGGTAGATCTCGTGCTCGGGGAACAGAAGATTGATGGAGCGGGGGCGCTGTTCAAGGTAAGGAATTGCTTTTTATGCCTCCGTTACGAAGTAGCCGGAGGCATTATGTTTTCGGGTTGTCCGTCCGTCCGTACGTCCGTACGTACGTACGTACGTACGTCTGTACGTACGTACGTCCCGTTCTCGTGATCGCGTTATCTGAAGAACTGGTTGATGGATTCCTGCCAAACTTTGGTCATGTATGTTTCTTGTAGAGCCGATGAACTGATTAGATTTTGGGGTTACGAGGTCAAAGGTCAAAGGTCACAGGGCTCATTATGTATGCAAAACGAGCTCGTGATCGCGTTATCTGAAGAACTGGTTGATGGATTCCTGCCAAACTTTGGTCATGTATGTATCTTGTAGAGCCGATGAACTGATTAGATTTTGGGGTCACGAGGTCAAAGGTCAAAGGTCACAGGGCTCATTATGTATGCAAAACGAGCTCGTGATCGCATTATCTGAAGAACCGATTGATGGATTGCTGCCAAACTTAGGTCATGTATGTTACTTGCAAAGCCAAAAAACTGATTAGATTTTGAGGTCACGAGGTCAAAGGTCAAAGGCCACAGGGCTCATTATGTATGCAAAACGAGCTTGTGATCGCGTTATCTGAAGAACCGATTGATGGATTGCTGCCAAACTTAGGTCATGTATGTTACTTGCAGAGCCGATGAACTGATTAGATGTAGGGGTCACAAGGTCAAAGTTCAAAGATCACAGGGCACATTATGTATGCAAAAACAGCTCGTGATCGCGTTATCTCAAGAACCGATTGATGGATTCCTGCCAACTTAGGTCATGTATGTTTCTTGCAGAGCCAATGAACTGAGTAGATTCTTGGTTCATAAGGTCAAAGGTCATGGGCTCATTATGTATGCAAAAATAGCTTGTAATCACAATATTCTGAAAACCTGTTAATGGATTACAATTGAACTTGAATTTGAAAAATTTCTTCTGTTTTGGTTTGTAAAATTGCTCTATGACGGAGGCATCATTTTCGACTGCGCGCAGTCGAAGTTCCATCTAGTTTCTTTCTTCAATCAATCAAAATCTATGAAAAGGTTGTTTTGTAGAACTTATTTTGCACTCTCACAAACAATGCCTCCTGTTCATCCGAGCATGAACACATACCACACAAAAATGATGCCAAATGATTTGGGATGAAACACTCTTTCATAAGATGTATAATAATTTACTGTTTATAGATGATTGTTAAAATAATTAGCAATTTTCTAGGTGTAAACTTTTTTTTGACTCACACGGTATATCATTCTTGTTTGTAGCTGTCATACAATGCGGATCATCTCCTGTTATATTCCACCGACAACAACGAAGCACTGTCATGGATCGACAAGCTTCAGGGAACTATCCAAACGCTGAGGAGAAATCGCGCTTCACTCCGTACACCGTCCGTCATGGAGAGACGCAAAGAAGAGGCTTTCACACGCGATGCGGGACGAACGCCGTTCAGAGCAAGCATGAGAATCCGCAGTATGTGCAGGAAACCGCAACTCACCAGCAGCCAGTTAGTTTCTCAGGTTAGAAATAGTATACCAAAAAAAAAAATTAATACATACTGCAATATAAACATGACGGACAAAGAAAGATGACAAAATATACAGTTCCTCATTCTACCCTCAACAATTGCTGTGGTAGACAAAGGAACATCCCTTCACTGTTATTATGTAAAAATGTGTAGAACAGGTGAATATGCATGTGACACCTGTTCTACACATTTTTACAGCAGGGAAGGGATGTTCCTTTGTCTACCACAGCAATTGTTGAGGGTAGAATTAGGAACTGTATATTTTGTCATCTTTCTTTGTCCGTCATGTTCATAGTGCTATTAACCTTGATATTTGTTCTATTCAATTCAATTAATTAATTTTATAAAATACAAAGCTTTTTTAAAGGGACTTGGTAGCATTGTTCAGATGAGAGTAAATGGTGCTAAGATAGTGACTTTTGACTATTGTGCAATGTCTGTGCAAGTCATTTGAAGAGCTCAGTTTTGAACTCCAATGATTGTAATTATTTTTTTTTAATGGAGTATATTTCCATTTCTAATGTATGGATGTGAAGCTTGGACCCTGACATCAGACCTAAGAAAGCAACTGGAAAGTTGTGAAGTTTGGTTCCTGATAAGGATGCTAAGAATTTCATGGACAGAAAGAGTTTCTAATAATGAGATCTTTGCCATGGCAGGAACAAGACGGAAGCTTTTGAATAATATAAGAGGTCGACAGCTGAGCTTCTTGGGCCATGTTATACGGAAGAATGGTTTGGAAAATCTTGCACTAACTGGAAGAATCGAGGGGAGGAGGGGTAGGAGGAGGGTTCTGTGGATGAGTAGCTTAAGGAGTGGGATTTCTGAATGTGGAATTGATCTCGGGGAGAATGAATTACTTCATAGAATATGGGATAGAGAGTTGTGGCACTCCATGGTCGCCAACGTCTCAGGATATGGCACATAGAGAGAGGGAGAGAGAGAGATATTCCCATGGTAATTGTTCCGAATGACTATGATTTGTTTGTTTGTTGTTGTTTTAATAGGGGGCATCTCCTTCTCCTATGCCAAAGAGGGATCTTCTTTATCCCATGAGGAAAGACATCTTGAAAATGAGCGACAAAAAGGTATGAAATAAACCATTGAAATCAGATCAATATCAATGACCTTCATGGCTTTAACCCAATATAAGCCCTGGGGGTGTTTCATAAAGCTGTTCGTAATGTCCAAAGTTTTTTCTGATATTTTCAATAACCTTTTTCACTAAATTTTCACTGATTTTATTCAGATATCTTAAACTTTACAATAAAAGTAACTTAGTATGAAGGTTTTGGTTCCCTTTAAGTAAGGAAAAGGTCATGTGGATTTTAGATAAATTACAGAATTTCAATAGTGCCTATGGTAAATGAGTAATACTACTCTTTAACATAGATATAACTAGAGAAGTAAGTTCAAGTGCTTTCCATACCATAATCACTATCTGTACAATATTTGTAGAGGTGTTGTGTTGTGTTCTAGTGAATATATGTGTAAAGCACTTAAGGTGGTATTCTCGAAAGCGGACTAATTTTAGTCCATGGTTTAATCCACTGACTAAGTATGGGATGCCAAGTGTTTATATAAATATGTTTTTGAATAATTTAATCTCTCACTAAATTAAAATAAAATGTAATAACGTAATTGATAAACAACAATATAACTATGATATAATCACGTTATCATGGTAATTTAGGGACATTTCAAATTATAAAAAAATATATTCATATGGACACTTGGCATCCCATAATTAGCCGGTGGATTAAACCATGGACTAAAGTTATTAGGCTTTCGTAGCTTGTAGCTTTAATGTGAATAGCAACCAGTCTGATAATATTTCAAAGCTCTTGCTGCCTCTGTGACCTTTCCAGGCTGACAGCATGACGACAAGATCAGCATCATCCCCACCGATGACTACGAGAAGTGCCGCTAGACGATACCCTCTGGGACATCACATGACACAACAACCTGTAGCATCATCACCGAGGCGTAGTCGCACCCAGGCCAAACGACCCAGGTCACTCCCTCCTCAACTCTCCAAGAAGAAAGTGAGGAGACTACAAGATCGTGGACCACTCCCACTCAAGAAGAAGAAGAAGAGAGAAGTGAGTTTAAAGGGGGAAAAGGTCGAGAGAAAGAGATGGAGACAGAGATAGATATTTTTATTAATTTATTTATTTATTGCAGATCTTTAAAAAGAAGGGTAGCCCAATCAGAAAATAAAAACTGCTTTTCGTTGAGGCCCTTCATGACTCAAACAATACATTTTATCAACACATCAAAATATAAATAAATATAGAAAATTACAAAATACGATTTTAACAAACAAAAAAATTGCAAACCAGTTAATAATAGAAAGATGGTAGAGAAAGAAGAGAGAGAGAGTTGGGGAGATGGGGCTGAGATGAGAGAGATTGAGAATAGAGAGAAGGGGGGGGTGGAGGGGTAAACTGCAAGTTAACAAAAAAGAGAAGATTTTAAGGGGGGGGGGAGATAGAGAGAAAAAGATGAAGACGGAGATAGATATGGAAAAATGGTAGAGAGAGAAGAGAGAGAAAGAGAGAAAGAGAGAGAGAGAGTTGGGGAGAGGGGGCTGAGATGAGAGAGATTGAGAATAGAGAGAGAGAGGGGGGGGGGGGGGGGGGGGGAGGATAAACTGCAAGTTAACAAAAAAGAGAAGATTTGTTAGCCTTTCTTTAAGCCTGAAAACTTAAAACCAGTTAAGAATTGTGGAGACTTGTGACATTTTCTATAATGTAATAGTAGGAATTTGATTTTGATTCAGACTGATTCACAAGTAGACAATAACTTCAGTTCTTATGTTAGTCATTTTATTTAAAAACCCATAACAAAATAACAATGATGCTATCTTCAAAGAAAAGGGCATGATCCCTCAGTGGTATGACAGTGGTCTCGTGACCGGGAGGTCGATGCTTGAGTGCCTTTTGGTAAGGCATTAATCCTCAATACCAAGTCCCTCGGAGAGGACTCATAGCTCTCGGTCCCCTGGTTGCTGGTTCGCTGAATGTCTTCCGAAACTGTCTCAAAACTCTCCTCTTTGACCATGATCAACTATTCTTTGATAACTTTTATGTAAAGCACTGTGAAACAACAGTTAGTTTGTAAGAGCGCTATAGAAATGACTTTATTGTAATTGCTCACTTACAAGCATACAAATGTACCTGCTTTCTTAGCAGTCAGGTAAAGTAATACTCAATATCATATTGTTTTTATCGACATTCATGTAGGATCCCGAGATGACAGTTTATGAAGATGCCGTGGATCACGGTACGACGACGGATGATCATGATAACACGCTCTACCAGACGGCCATGGCAGAGGACGAAGGGACCCATACCGAGATCTACCCTATGACCCCTAGCAGGGAACGTACCACTAGCTACCGTAGGGGGGAGCAGGTTCTTCAGGAGATGCCTCCCCTCACCACAGCACAGAATGGAGACAGTCAATGCATTATCCTTTGAGGAGGCTAGGCTAGGCTAGGTAGCAATCTGAGATGCACGGGCCTACGTGTTATCAGTGTCTGTGATATGGTGTAATATTTAAGCCCTGAAAAAAATTGCGCTTCGAAATGATTTTTCCCAATAGACTGTAGTGTTATGAAAACTGTTTGGTAAACGGTTTGCAAAATTTGTTATTCCAATCATAAATATCTTGATAATCAGTAAAAGTCATGGGGTTAAAGGTTTATAATTATGATTGCAGCAAGAGCTAAATCCAGGATTTTGTTAAGAATCTGAGACAAAGATACCCAATCCCTTTAAACAGATGAAACGCAACTTGATTTCCAGCCAATCATGATCACGTATGTAGGGCTTGCATTTATTTTTCTAAGGTGTGTTTAATGGCAACTTTTTACTTATGCAAGAGGGACCTAGAGCAATATTTATGTACCTGTTAGTGTCTGGCTCTAATTAATAATAAAAACAATTTTAGAGGTATAAAACACATATATCAGCTTATAATAGCCCAACAATAATCCATACATTTTAAAACTTTACACAAGCTAACAAATGATATAATTTGGCAAGATATTTACCTGCACTTGCTACTCTCCACCCAGGTGTTAAATAGCTAAACCTGTGCATACGTGCATGGTAACCGTTAGGGTTAGTGATAGGGTTATAATAATCATGCAAACCCACCTTTCATCAACCCATCGTTAGCTCAATCGGTAAGGACAGCGTAATACAGCGTTGGAGTTGTGGGTTCGAATCTCAGTATTGATTCAGTTCTATTTTTGCCTTCATAAATAGCCAGGTAAAGCAATAAATAATTAAAATCTAATTGTTTGTGACCTCTTTCCGAACTGCTTATGACGTAAAACGTATCAGCCAAGGTCCAGGGGGGTGTTTCACAAAGATTCTAAGTTGAACTTATCTCTAAATTAGACTTAACAATTATGGAAAGCCGTTAGCATCCTTGAAAATATTTAGTAAAAGTTATTTTAAAAGGCATAAAATGTTGATTCAAATCATTCATTTTTTCTATTATCATGGGAGATTTCATGTTCTTGATGTGGAATTTATGAAAAGTCTAGAATACTTGAATTTTTGCTTCTGAACATATTTCATTATGAGACTACAAATGGCTCTCCATAATATTTAAGTCCAACTTAGAGTTAAGTTTGACTTACAATCTTTGTGAAAAAACCCCCTGATCATATCAGCCAAGGTCCAGATCTCTTGTTGGCATATGTTGGTGTCCTGTCCCTGCTTCAGCTATCTAATCATATCCATCAATTCTTTCATAGTGTTTCTGTCTTTCAGTGTACATTTTGTTCAAAAATTGTCTTTGTTTGTCACTGTGATGTCTGTATAATGTATTATTCATATTATGACCCGCTACATATGATACCGGTACACTCCAAAATATACCAAGATATATATATAAACATATACTTATCAACATGAGGGGGGTATTACATCAAAATATTTATGAATATACTTTTATTTTTAGAAATTACTAATCATGACAACATTTAGTCAAAATGTTTTAACTTAAACCCATTTGATACAAAGTGATAAACTAGGAACAAACTGGTAGATTATAAAGTTATAACCACTTTCAATGCCTTCAAACTAGTTGTATAAACCCCATATTCCTCTTATTTTCTGAAAACATCTACAGATGTATGTAATATACATTGTACATTTATTCCTACTTTTGTTTCAGAAATTCCCTTTTAAAAAATGGTAGAAAGTTGGCAGGTATGTTACATGCATCAACCATGCTTTTCATTTGTTTTGTCACAATCGTCTCTGTGGTAAAAATTTATATGTATATATTGTTTTTTGAGTGTCTTCCATTTTGTACGCAGCATTAATTTGAAGTTCATATATTGAGAGAATTCCTGATGCTGTAAATGATATGTGTATATGGATGTAAGGTTTGTTCAAACAGTATACTGGATAAAAGTGGTTTTATATTAGACTGGAAGAATGTACCAAGTGTTTGAATAATATGATGTTACTAGTTTGTACTTAATTACAATGTGATTCCTGACTAGATAGAGCAGGAGGGAAATAAATTAGCATTTTATAGACAGAAAATAAATTACATCTACACTTTATGAATGAACAAAAGAGCCATTGTACTTAGATAAGGGGAGTGTTTCACAAAGACTAAGATCGACTTTAAGTTGGACTTAACTATGGCAGGCCATTCACGCCACTGGTTGCTCTCAGTATTGGTCTCTCAATTATGATCTTTAGATATTATTTTTTCCTTCAACAATGAACTATAAAAATATATAAGTTCTGTAGATTTGTGATCATGATTTATACGTCCCTCGAGAGACCAATGCCAGTAAATGGTGAGAGCAAACAGTGGTATGAACAGCCTGCCATAGTTAAGTCCAACTTAAAGTCAATCTTAGTCTTTGTGAAACACTCCCCAGGAACATTACTGAACTAGCTTATAAAAGGTCACATCTTATTTGGGTTGATGTAGGATATAACCCAGTCTACTTTGACCGAGAAGAGCCCTCGATAGTTTTATTCTATTTTAAGCAGTTTTTCAGTAATGGTAGCCACTTAACCCTATTTAGCCCGGGGGGGGCTTGAGAAGCCCCCCCCTCGACATTTTTCGCGATAATTTTTTAACGCAAGAAAATCTTGCACTGAAATTTTGTGACTTTTTTCTTTCGAGTCTTGCGCAACTTTTGAAAGAAATTTTTCGAAAATCGGACCTACCATTACAAAGTCACGTGTCCTTTTGTCTTCGCATGTCAGCCCGAAAATCGCTCATTTTTGTGATTTGTGTACAAAACATATGGAAATCCCATTTTTCAAATAAAGAGGTAAAACATTGGTTATTTGGTCTTGTTTAGATTTTAGGTGTTTATTTTGGGGTCAAAATAGTTGAATTATAGTTGGAAATGAAATAAAACAACAAAAACAATAAAATACATAAGTTAAAAAAACAAAGAAATACATAAGAAATTATCAAAACAATAGATAACATAAGGAATAACCCTGGTTTTTCAAATTTTTGTGCTGTATTATTATTCCAAATGGTCTAACAAATATATGTAGTGAGAAAGAATGCTTAAATATGAATAATGTCTGATTTATGGGCAAAAATGTGAATTTAATGACCTTATTTGCATAAATTACCATAAATATGCAAATGAGTGAATTTTTCAAAAAAATTGAAATTACCATAGTATTCTATACACTTCACTTGACATGTATGCAAATTTTCGCGGCGATCGGGCGTTTCACGGCCGAGATCATAGGGGGGGGCCTGAGAAGCCCCCCCCGGGCTATGCAGTTTCAAAATAGCCCGGGCTAAATAGGGTTAAAATGGACCCACATGTTGATGTATTGATATACCATAATGATTTGTATTGCTATTAAAGGGAATGTAGTGTTGACTTAGTTTAAGATGAAATATAATTTTTTGGTGCTATTTTGGGGGAATACCACATATTACTCGGAGAAAATTTTAAGGGTAAATTGATGTAATGGAGACCAGTTTGGAGATATCACATGGTACAAATAGCAGATATCTTTTCGACATGGAGAAGTTCCACTTTGTGCATTTTGTACATGTAATCACTACCAAAAAGATAATCACTATGAACATGACGGACAAAGAAAGCGGACAAAATATACAGTTCCTCAGGTAGACAAAGGAACATCCCTTCACTGCTATTATGTAAAAATGTGTAGAACAGGTGAATATGCATGTGACACCTGTTCTACACATTTTTACATAATAGCAGTGAAGGGATGTTCCTTTGTCTACCTGATGAACTGTATATTTTGTCCGCTTTCTTTGTCCGTCATATTCATAGTGAATGGTGCTTCATGAATACCTTTGTTAACCCTCTTAAGAAGAATACCACCTGTGCGTCTCAATTATTACAATTTGTACAAACGACCAATATGTGCCGTGGGGGGTGATTCATAAAGCTGTTGGTAAAGTTACGCATGACTTTATGAACGACTTGTATATGAAAAGCCAAAGGGGATGCTCAATCATTATAAAATACATCAACTAGAGTTGTGCAGATGTAGATTAATTGAGGTTATTGAAAATATCAGAAAAAACTTGGGCATCCTATCTGGCACTTCATATACAAGTCGTTCATAAAGTCTTGCATAACTTTACGGACAGCTTTATGAAACACCCCCCTGCACGGATGTTATCTCCTTACTGGCTCATTGTGGATTTAAATTAGACCAGTGGCTTGGGCCGACGTTATGCTGTACATATTAACTCTGTCTCTCTCTCTCTGTGCAATAAATGCTGGTTATAAATATACAATAGGTTTATTGTGTTCTATAACGTGTGCGCTACGACGGTTACAACTTAAGTTACAGTATTTTAAAGAGAAGGTCGAGTACTGGGAAGAGGTGAAAAATAATTTGTGAGCGTTATTGTTATTATGCAAGTGTGGAAGAAAATCAGATAAAAAAATGATCCAGAACAGCATGGCTTTTCAAATGCCTTAATATTCTAAATATGGCATGTAACAATGTTTGTGTAGTCCCATATACATATTTTGGCTTCTAAGGCCCCCCCCCCCCCCCCATGATCTCTGCGAAAATTTGCATTTTCATGTTTTGTACTCAAATCACGAAAATGGGTGATTTTTGGGCCGACATAAAATTTAAGCCCAAGATTCTTTTGCGTTAAAAAATTATTGCAAATAATATAAAGGGGGGGGGGGGCATCTATAAATGTTTTCAATTTAAAAAGATTTCTAATGACACCCCCCCCCCCCCCCAAAGCCAGTGTCCCTTTGGTAATTGGACTATATGCAGTGTAGGACTAGTAATGCAAACAAAATACTACAAGTACAACAGACTTACAGTAACAGCTTGTAACATAGTTTTTAATATTTTTTTTCTCTGTTTTTCCATGTGTGTGAAATATGCCACGGTCAGACATAGACCATTGGAAATATCAAATACTTCTTATAAAGTCACCTCAGGTTAATCCTACAGCAAAATCATCCTGTGAAAAAGTGTAATTCAACTGTATTTCTACAACATACTAATTATGTACTGTGACAGTGAAGCAATTGATACCATCTCAAGTATAAATACACCTTTCTCTGTGAAAGAGGTGAACATTTCTGAAAACAATTACGATTATGAGCAATTTTTAATTTTTTTTCTCCAAGTTTCAAACTCAGCTTTACAATAAGAATATTCACAAACAATTTACACAAAATACCATCCACATTCATAATGAAAACATTCATATTTTTGTTGTTTTTTTCCTTCATGCAAAGCATTTGTACGGCAATAGAGTCACCATTTCTTTTAGAATATATTTAGTCAGAAATTTACAGTAGAAAAACAATTCTTGTAACGTCACAAACTTGTTCCATAGTACCATTCAAACAATTCACTCTTCTACCCTATAACCTTAGCTATGGACCTCTTTTTATTACAAGCAAGCTATGACCTATGACCTGTCTCTGGTAATAAAAAGGTCAAAGTTCAATTTGTACTCGTACTACACAAGAAAAAATATCCTTGCAAAAACATGGGGTGGAAGATAATATCTCGGATCATTTTAGGATACAAAAAAGCTTTGAAAATGCCGGATGAATGTTATAATTTATTTACAATAGGAAGTGATACTTGTCTTTGTCACTGAGCAAGTGAGCATTTAAAGGCCAAGTGCACTCACAAACTAATAACCAAATTGGCAGTTTGTGTAGTGGTTTCCATTGTTCTATAGTTTTACAAACTTTTTCAAAAATGCATAACTTTCTTATTAGTTATCCGATTTTGCTCAAACTTGTTTTGATTGGTTTGTCTGATTTTTCTGCTTCTATTGAAAGTAAGTTATTTTTGGAGTGGACTTGTACTTTAAAACTGGCACTGGCATCCCTGAAAATAAGTGTGATTGCTGAAATGTCCACTCTACATGTACAATGTTTGGTACAGCCAAATTTGGGAACAGAATCGAATTCTGGCCAGCCTCAACATTTAGATAAGGGAAGGTTTGCATGTGCCCCAAAGACAATGCTCTTTAGGGGTGAAAACAAGCATTTTATCACAAATTAAACCTGATATTAATAATGATGAAGAGTGATAAACATGTTTAGTATTCTCAAAGTTATCTGATCACCATTTCAAAGAAATGTTCTGTCCCAAGGTACACATGACAAAATTCTTCCGTATTTTGAAAATTATTTCATCTTTTTGTTAATAGTAAATGATTGCATTTGTCATAATAACTTTTCAATTGCAGCTTTTCATTTTCCCCCTCTAAATTTTTCAATGTAAGCATCACCTATGCATAGCCACTAACCAATATTGTGCCAAAAGCTTAGATCGGTTATGAATTTATGACAATAGGCCATTTCCATAATGTAATCAAATGTAAAGCAGAAGTCTTTGTTAAGTGCCGCATTACAAATTATTTCATTCAACAGTTACAAATAAATGATTTTCAATAGTCAGAATGCAAATTGCATAGCGAACATTAGATGTTGTTATGTATTTGTCCCTAATAACAAATTATTTCATTCTCCAGTTACAAATAAATGATTTTTCAATAGCGGGATGCAAATTGCATACCTACATTAGTTGTTGCTATGTATTTGTCCCTAAAATAAAATGTTCAGAACGCGATAAGAAGACTCTGCCAACCTTTAACTGATTATCACCTAGGAAAGACTTACAAAAGAACCTATTACAGAAAGTATAAGTGCGTGTATGTCACATGAGCCTGTTTTAACTCATTAGCTCCGAACCCAAACACACACAAGAGCCCACACACATGTAACAAAATCTAAACATCAGGTTTAAATGTGGATGATCCACAACTAATGCTACGGTCATGAAGGTTTGTATGAACGATAACTTCGTACGAATCACAGTTTTTCGATTGTCTTCACGAATTTCCATTGTCTGAAAATCGTTCGTACGGCGTTCGTAATGGCATTTGTGACAGAGGCTTTAGACATAAGATCATGGCAGACATTCATGTATGATAACCTATCATTTAATAATAAACCTAAACAAGAGTAGAGGCTGAAATTACTGTGGTTCTCTCAATAGCAGACCTTGCAGGAAGGTCTAATCCCCCCTGGCAAAACTATTGCAGACGGGCTTTAAATAAACATTTGCAAGTGCCTCCATTCAACCAAAGTATCGGTTCAGCTTCGAAACGTTCATTACTACTAGCGGGGTAACCATCAATTCTATTTTTACTCTAGGTATCCCTTCGTTGAAAGAGTTAATAACTCGGCTATTACCTGTGTTCCAACATCTCAAGAAACGTGCCTGAATTTAATATTCTCTGTGAAACACACATAATTTCCGATCAACAATGTCCCATGAATACACAAAACAACTAGAATATAACAGCAGCAATCTGAAGAAATATTTCAACAAATTCCACAAAAATTTGGTTGAAAAGACATTAAAACGGTTTACATCATGAAGAGAATGTAGGGTTGCTACTAATTGTTTCCGAACTTCTCCTTGCATCCTGCAGAATTTTAATGCACCAAGTCATAAAATGGAACCTCGTATTACAAAAACAGAACCTAATTTACAACCAGAAAATAATGTACAGCACTACACGTACAAAAAAGATGATTATTCGAAAGTACTTTTGGATTTCAGACATATCAGCCCAAATTCACAAAGGAGGTTTGTCGACGAACCTAGGCTATGTACGTCATGACGTGTTTTGACTTGTTTTATGGTTTGTAAAAACGCATCAAAACAAACCTAGGTTTGTCGACAAACCTCCTTTGTGAATTGGGCCTTCATCTTTTTTTCACATTGATGAACAGGTGCAGTTAGAAATAAAGACTTTTCAATAATTGGTCTCCCTTTGTATGAATGATATATTTTTGGAAATAATACGCAGCTGCTTGCAAAATGGAGAAAGAAAAAGTGCTTTTGCTTCGGGACAAAAGCAATGGTACCACTTCTCATAAGAAGCACTTGCAATTTGACGGAATAACAGATTTATCATCCAGTAACCATGACGATAGTACACTATCACTCCATGATTGACTAGAAGCTAATAAGAAAATAATAATAATTTTATATAGCGCTTATTACAAATGTCCAACATTAAACGGCATATTCTTCTCAAACCATTACATGAACTAAAAAGATTTGCCTTTTAGTTACCAAACGTTGCCTCTTTGTATTAGATCACGTCAAAAGCTGTAAAAAGGTGGAAAATATGATAAAAACTGTTCCGTCCTTTATCTTCTTTCAAATTTGACAATAATCTAAGGGAAATGGTGAAACACCAATGTGTGATATTCCTGCCATAGTCTTAAGTTAATGGCGGGTGCACATCGGTCTAGTGAAAGTCTGTAGGTCCAACTTTCAGAGAAATAATTGCAATGTAAACTTACAGCTTTTTAAACTTGCATTTTGTATCCTTATTTCAAATTTTACATGCTGCATTGGTGAAGCACCAAAGTGTGATATTCCTTCCATAGTCTAAGTTAATGGTGGGTGGACATCAGTTTGGTGACAGTCTGTAGGTCAAACTTTCATAGAAATAATTGCAATATAAACTTACAGCTTTTTAAACTTGCAATTTGTATCCTTATTTCAAATTTTACATTCCGCAATGGTGAAGCACCAAAGTGTGATATTCCTGCCATAGTCTAAGTTAATGGCGGGGGTAAATCGGTTAGGACAAAGTCTGTAGGTCCAACTTTCAGAGAAATAATTGCAACATTAAATGTCAGCTTTTAAATATGTTTTAACAGTTGATAGATGAGTTACAACAAAAGAAGAAGAAGAAAAGGTTGTCCGAAATGCGTAGCCAGCGGTAGATTCCCAGTGTTCCTTTTCAGTCTCGATCAATCAAACTGGGACCCATTTCACAAAGTCTTTTTTTCAATAATAAATGACAAAAATCAGTGACAAATCTGCTGATAACCAATCAGAATCAAGGATTTCAGTAGCTTATTACAAAAAAATGTCATTTGTCACTGATGATAAGTTTTGTGAAACGGCCCCCTGGACTCGCTTTGCTCCAATACAACGAGTCCCACATGGTAAGGTGACATTGCGCTTCATTCCGACGCCTCATGTATGCTCCCAAGGCATGATGGGTAAGACGAGGTACGAGAGAGGGCGCCATTCTACTGCTGGTTACATTCAGGTGGCTTCTGACCATCCTAAGTGAAGATGAGAGACAGAAGGAAGATGAAAATGAATACATGAAGAAGAAGAAGAGTAGGGAAGGGAAAGACAGACAATAGCAGGGAAGGGAAAGACAGACAACAGCAAGGAAGGAAAGGTGAAGTGAAAATGAGAGACAGAAGGAAGATGAAAATGAAGAAATGAAAAAGAAGAAGAGCAGGGAAGGGAAAGACAAACAACAGCAAGGAAGGAAAGGTGTAGTAAAGATGAGAGACAGAAGGACAATGAAAATGAATAAATGAAAAAGAAGAAGAGCAAGGGAGGGAAAGAAGAAGTAAAGATGAGAGACAGAAGGAAGATGAAAATGAATAAATGAAAAAGAAGAAGAGCAAGGGAGGGAAAGAAGAAGTAAAGATGAGAGACAGAAGGAAGATGAAAATGAATAAATGAAAAAGAAGAACAGGGGAGGGAAAGACAGACAACAGCAAGGAAGGAAACGTGAAGATGAGAGACGGAAGGAAACGTGAAGATGAGAGACGGAAGGAAATGTGAAGATGAGAGACAGAAGGAAGATGAAAATGAATAAATGAAAAAGAAGAAGAGTGGGGGAGGGAAAGAAGAAGTAAAGATGAGAGACAGAAGGAAGATGAAAATGAATAAATGTAAAAGAAGAACAGGGAAGGGAAAGACAGACAACAGCAAGGAAGGAAACGTGAAGATGAGAGACAGAAGGAAGATGAAAATGAATAAGTGAAAAAGAAGAAGAGCAGGGAAGGGAAAGAAGAAGTGAAGATGAGAGAAAGAATTAAGATGAAAATGAATAAATGAAAAAGAAGAAGAGGGGAGGGAAAGACAGACAACAGCAAGGAAGGAAAGGTGTTGTGAAGATGAGAGACAGAAGGAAGATGAAAAGACAGACAACAGCAATGAAGGAAAGGTGTGATGGTCAGGGATAATAGAAGGTGGGAGAAAGAAAGACAAATGAAACGAAAGGGAGAGAATTAATGTGAATAGATGGATAGCAAAAATGTTTGACAACAGAGGGAAGAAAAGATAAGGAATGGATATAAAAAGTGAACAAATAGGAACACGGGAGTTGCAAGGATGGGGAAAAAAATCATGCAAACATTTAATGAAACATGCACACATATTTTCATTGACATATTAAAGTAATACAAGTAACCATGTAGAGCGGGATGTTAGTAGTTGAAAAGGCTTCTATGGATAAAAATAAAATACAAGACCCCAAAACAAAATAAACAAACAATAACAGATTTTTTTTGAAGGGGAATGTCTGGTAATTGCAATGATTCAAAGTTGTTGATTGGATATACGTTGAACACATACATGGTTAAATTTGCCACGGAGTGCCCTGCCCGCTTTAAGCAACCAGCCCTGAATCATCTCCTTTGCACACACAAAAAAAGGCAATTTTAAAACGTTGAAAAAAAAAAAGGGCGATTTTAAAACGTTCACCAAAAAAAAAGGTGATTTTAAAACGTAAACAAAAAAAACAAGGCGATTCTAAAACATTTTTTTTTTAAAGGTAAATTTTAAAATGTCTTCTTCTAAAAGGCGATTTTTAAAATGTTTTAAAAAAAAATGTGTAGAAGTCAAATGACATACGAGAGTGGATAACCTTTGAACTAGTAATAAAATGATAGAATGTTGGAAGGGAATGTTTTGTACACACCTTTCCAGGTTCAAAGTCTGGATCGTTATCATCTTCCTCATCACCTTCCTCTCCTTCCTGGTCATCCTCCTCAGCTTCCTCTTCATACTAGATACAGAGAGGGGGAGATAGAGAGAGAGAGGGGGAGGGAGAGAGAGGGGGAGGGAGAGAGAGGGGGAGGGAGAGAGAGGGGGAGAGAGATAGAGAGGGGGTGGGGGGGGGGGGAGAGAGAGAGGGGGAGAGAGGGAGATAGAGAGAGAGAGAGAGATAGAGATAGAGAGAGAGAGATAGAGATAGAGAGAGAGAGATAGAGATAGAGATAGAGAGATAGAGAGATAGAGAGGGGGGAGAGAGAGAGAGAGAGAGAGGGAGAGAGAGATAGAGAGAGGGGGGGGGGAGAGATATAGAGATAGAGAGAGAGATAGAGAGATAGAGAAACAGACAAGAGAGAGAGGGGCAAAGAGAGAGGGAGAGAGAGATAGAGAGAGAGGGGGGGGGGAGAGATATAGAGATAGAGATAGAGAGATAGAGAGATAGAGAAACAGACAAGAGAGACGGGCAAAAAGAGAAAGAGATAGAGAGACAAGAGAGAGAAAGAGTGACAGATTGCAGAAGAAAATTTGAAAAAAATAGAAGAAAAGAGAGAGAGAGAGAATAAAAAATGTAGATGTGAACAAAACAATATTGAATACAATGGTTAATAAAATGCAAATTTGTTTGTACAGCCCCAGGCTATCGAAATGTACTAAAAAGTTGAGATTAAGAGCAGGGGTATATTATTTGACCTGTCTCACCAACGAGACCAACACCTGATCGAACAAACAATAATATTACAATACCACAATTATCCAGGTAGCGGCCGGTTTGGGCCTGTGACTGAGATATACAGGTCAATACACTTTTTAAATAACCTGAAAGTGAATATCAGTATAAATATATTTATTTTGCTCTCTGTGGAGAGATTATGAAGGATCATACACAATCCTCTTGGTTTGGTTTTAAGTAGCATTGATGAAAGGCTGACTTAAGTTGTTTTGTTTTCTTCCTTTCCTTCTGTGGGAATCCAAACAACCATCAAGTGTTAGAATGAATAGCAGATAGTGCTGAAGGCAAGGGAAGAATAAACATTCAAATTCATCTTAGAGGCTAACAGATATGAAACCATTTTATCTCTTCGGAAAAAACATGAAAAAAAGAAGAAAAGGCTGAATTATAGAGAAAACAGATTTTTGGCTCACTAAATTTTTCAACTGACTTCTATATATTAAGGATGCATGCTATGTACACACAAATTGGGTAGCATGCTATGGTGAGAGATGGGACCATTCTTAAAGGTAAAGACCAGTATTGGAAACGCCCCAATTTCAAAAAATGAAATGGAAGCTTTCATTACCAATCATGTGAAAGAATATGTTTTGACTAATACATGATGATAAAAAAAATTGCCGGGAAACCGCCTACTAATTCATATATTTGGTAAATGTGTTTCTCTCATGGTCTGTGAGAGATATAGGGTAGTTCCATATACATCTTTCTGTGTATAGTGCTTGTAACTTTACGAAGAATGGGCCAAATTTCTTATCATTTTGATGATTCCAGAACCTTGCAGATGCTAGATGCTAGATGATCAACCTTTTCTGATCGATTCCACAACGTTTCTTTCACAATGCAATCGCATGACCATAACTGGTCTTTACCTTTAATATCAATAATACATATATCTACACAGATCTAACTATCTCTACTTAGCATACCGGCCAACATTTCAATGCAAAATTTAGTCATTATGTGTAATTTTAACAGAAGCTTCGACATTCCTCCAAAATAGGAATAGTTAGCAGCTATGACTTAGTGGCGTAGCATTGGTCAAGGCATTACGACGGTACTGATTCTATGATGGTTGCACTGGTCCTACTTGGTCAAGGCATTATGAATTGGTCCAATCATCCTTTTTTCTCATTCGTTACCCCCTCTCTCTTTTCTTTTCTCGTTATCATGTGACTGGAGGAGGGGGCACACCCCTGCGCTACGCCACTGTCTCTATCTAAACCTGTCAATAGACGACATACAACGGATGGACAAATACAGCATGATGGACAAATACAGCATGACATACAGCTAGCAGACCTGCCAACCTCTGGAGTTCAAAAACTGTATTCTTTAATCCCCAAAGTTGTGTTTTACTGACAAAAGTTGTATTCTTAAAAATAAACATGGACTGTTACGGGGATCAATGTGTCTTACATTTCCTACATACAGGAACAATTTTTTTTTATGGATAATTTGTTGAATATGCATGATTTTGTCACGACTGTTGGGTTCGATGAACCAATGAACATCCCCAAATTGGCGATGTGAGATGATAGTAGGATACTTTACAGAACAGAATGAGCATTTTGCCACTGAAAATGGCTAACACACAACAGAAATATTTAAAAAATCTTTAAAAAAAAAAAAAAAAAAATCATTTTTTAAAAAAAATAGAAAATCGTACTGTCGTATTTGCTTCTAAAAATTGTACGAATACGACTAATCGTACTGGTTGGCAGGTCTGAACTAGGGCACATGGGCTTTGTTGGTTTGGCTAAGTGACATACCTTACATGTAGCAGTCTTATTGATGAACTGTAGCAAGGATTAGAAGTTTAGTATAGTTAGAAAGCTGAGGGATTCAACTCTAATACCACTACAAACTAAAGCATGGAAGTGAAAGTACTAAGAAATTACTAATTCATGTGGAGCTGTCAACACACAGTTGTTGAATAAGGCAAGACAGTCCCCCCAATGACTTAGAATTGCGATTTTTTTCTTCTTCTTCTTCATCTCCTGGCATCTAACATTGTACCAGGACTGCTGTTTTCTGGCATTTTCCAGACATTATAAAGCTTTAGTCTCACACAATGAAGCATACACGATGAGTCGAAAGGACTACCATAGCACAGAAACAATCCTATTTCATCATCATTATTTTCTTTTATTATTGATTTATTTACTTATTTATTCATTTTCATTAAAATCCATTAATTTATTATTGTTATTAATATTCATTTTTTATTTTTCGAGAGGGGGGGGGGGGGGTAGGAATTGTAAGCGGTACATCCTTAGCAGAATTCACATTAAGCCACAATACATCTTGTGCAGACACAATTTTATTTGAACGAAGCAAATAATGTGCATTTTAAAAGTCTCCATTAGGAGTTCATTATCAACGTTAGTAATATCAAACTTTGAAAAAAAGACATAAGCTTTTACCTTCAACATAAAATATAAACTTTTAACTTATGAGTGCATAAACTCTTAAATGATTATTACAGCTCCTTATCAAAGCAGAAATTGCTACACATCTGCCAAAGGGGTAGTACTCGACCCGATAATTGAGTATAAAAGTTAAATTAAAAAAGAAGAGACAAGAAAAGCTTGGCATTGCACAGTACAGATTTAACACGAGTGAGAGATGATGACGGTCAAACGGGTAAGAAGCTAAGCATACACTATGGACATGACAGACAAAGAAAGAGGACAAAATATACAGTTCCCCATTCTACCCTCAACAATTGCTGTGGTAGACAAAGGAACATCCCTTCACTGCTACTATGTAAAAATGTGTAGAACAGGTGAATATGCATGTGACTGGTTTTAAGTCATCGGGCTGTGGTTAAAAGAAAACCTTGATGACTCAGGCGTACTACATGTATAACCCCATTTTTGAATGGAACAACCCATTGCTTCTACGCACACAATCCAACCTGGACTGTTCCATATTGATAAATAGGGGTGTTTACCTCATCTTCAATGGCCTCGGGCTGTGGTTAAAAGAAAACCTTGATGACTGGGCGTACTATAACCCCATTTTTGAATGGAACTACCAATTGTTTCTACACACACAATCCAACCTGGACACTTCCATATTGATAAATAGGGGTGTTTACCTCATCATCTTCAATGGTCTCGGGCCGTGGTTGAAAGAAAACCAAGTTAATGACTCGAGCGTACTATAACCCCATATTTGAATGGAACAACCCATTGCTTCTACGCACACAATCCAACCTGGACTCTTCCATATTAATAAATAGGGGTGTTTACCTCATCATCTTCGATGGCCTCTCCTGTGAAGTACAGGACTGCTCGAGGGATAATCCGCTCTCTGATCAGGTGACCAATCTCAAAATCTGCACTTAGTAATGCTTCAGTCTCCTCATCCTATCAAAAAAAAGAAGAAAAAAAGAAGTGAAGAAAAAAGAAAAGAAGTATTAGAAAAATTGAAAATTGTTTACTAATTAACTGTAATAAGTGTAATCCCCAAACTTCTGATGGAAATTATACCCAAAGGCTTAACACAGAGAACGGGTTAAGATTATCGTACAAATAACAAGCCTTAAAGATGCTATGTCCCTTTTGCAGCCAACATCAAATTCTGTAGAACTTTGCAGGAATTATGAATATGTCATGTTTGTCCTATCTGTGAAATTTAAACGTTAGCAGTGTCCTAATATTCAATTATGCAAGGAAACCTGTTTACTTGCTAGACTTCACTGTCAGACTCTATTGAGTGACTGACTGGCTTTTTTCTTCTTTGGTAAAACGAGCTGTAAAGGGGACATAAGCATTTGTCTACATCAATAACCCACTTCTTGTGATGACCAAAATTAAATTGATTGAATCTTTGCGCAGCATAGAACGTTCGTACAACCTTTTGGTACAATGGTCCGAAAATCAGACTATTACTTACTGGCTCTATAGCTCTTAAGTCAATTCAACAACTAATAGTCGTTATTTTCCCACTTGAAGACATTTCAAACCGCCCTTTTTTTAGGGAAGTTCTAAAGTAGTATAATGCCATTGGAATTTAACCTTTTCATTTTTTTTGGCCTGCAAATGGGACATAGTACCTTTAATAATGGTCAAAAGTTGTGAGAAAAACAGTTTTTATCTTTAAAAAAACAACAAAATAACATTATCATAAAATGTATCATATATTAATTATCTTCAATATTCCTAAGCACATAAGCTCTAGCAAGAGAAACGAATGTCACTAGCGATATTATTTTCAAAACAATAGTAGTATTAGATGCTGCTTGTAAGTATCGGCTTGTATGGCGATGTAGATATACAGTAGGCTTGCAGGCGCACAATGAAGTGTTTTAGTAGTGTTAACATGTAGAAGGTCTGAGGGTTAACTATCCAATGAGTACGATGAACCATTACCCCCCCACCCCCCCCCCCCCCCCCCCCCCCCACATGAAGGGAAATCCAACCTTGAAAGCAACCTACTCTACAAGAAAGCAGAAAAATTGGGAGAAGTAGACTGATAAAAGTTTGAATGATATCGGACAAAAGGTTGTAATCACTGCGTGTACGGTCAGGGCTTAAATTAATCCAAGGCCACCAAGGCCATGGCCGTGGATGCCCTTTTGATTGGCCTCAATGCCCTTTTGATTGGCCTCAATGCCCCTCTCATTGGCCTTGGAGATTTTTTGTGCCCTTTCCAATTCTTCCTATTTGTGCTGTAATATAGGAATGTGCCCTACAGAAAAGTGGCCTAGCCCTAATTTATTGAAATTTAAGGCATGTAGGGGATTTTTAAAATTGGCTGAATCAGTGATGTCTCTGTGATGTAGTTGTGGACGACTTTCCAATTTGTTCCAACACACAAAATAACTAAAATATCTTTCTTTTTTCTTAAAAATGTACATGAATCTGGAGAATCGTTTATTTTTTAGAGTTCTATAACACTAATATGGTATCCATAATACATTTTGAGTAGAGTCCCAAAGGAGAAAAACACAAATTAATGATGTTTTTGTACACAACAGGAGAGTTATCCTTGACTACAGGAATTGCCAATTTGAAATTCACATAGATTTACTGATCTCTTATTTCAAACATCCATAACTTTCTTATCATTGGTCCGATTTATTTCAAACTTTTGATATTCTGTTTGTCTCATTTTTCTGCTTTCATACAAATCAACTAATTACAAAGGTTGGATAGCCCTTCAATAAAAAGAAAGAAAAAAAAATCATGCCATACAGCACCAATGGCTTGAATTCTCAAAGGAGGTTTAGATTTAACCCACGGTTTAAAGGGGAAGTCCACCCTGAAATTAAGTTAGTTTTAATAGGAGTAGAAAAATGAGAGAAACAAGTCAGTGAAAGTTTGAGCAAATTCCGATTAAAAATAAGGAAGTTAGGATTTTTTAAGTCGTGATCAATCAAACACAAATTGGCAACTCTATGACGTATCATGCGAGCTAAACTTCCATTTGCTCAGTACTAAAAAAATCTAAAATTTTCATTTTCCCTCAAGAAAAATTTCAACCATACATGCACCCTAAATATAATAATTGCAAATATGTTTCTATACTCCCCCTGCAAGGAAAAAATATATATTCCGTCATCAATAACGAAGAAAACATGATTTTATGGAATATTATGCACAAAGCAATTGAAGGAGAGCTTGTATAATAAGTCACAGAGTTGCCAATTTGTATTTGATTGATCACAACTTCAATAATTCATAACTTTCTTATTTTCATTCAGAATTTGCTCAAACTTTCACTCACCTGATTTTCTTATTATTCCGCCTCTATCGAAACAAACTTATTTTGGGGGTGGACTTTCCCTTTAAACCCTCATTTACATAACCCATGGTTTAAAAATTTGCGCAAAATAAGCGTACCTTGCCTTGCGCGCGTCTAATAGTGGACCTCTGACTTCTGTCAAGCCTATTTTAAACCATGGGTTATGTAAATGAAGGTTTAAACCATGGGTTGAATCTAAACCTCCTTTGTGAATTCGGGCCAAAAGTGTTTCTCAATGCCTTTACAATATTAACAATCCCCTAAAATAAAGTTAGAACTCTGGTACAACATTATTTTTGGTAAGGTTTCTGGGAATTTATAATAACGTGTGTCATGTCAAAGAAACAATAACCCCAACATAATACATTGTCGTTTGGTTATTTAAATGAGAACAAAATTAAGAAAAATAATGAGGGAAAACATAAAAAAAATTGTTGTAGCAGTTTTATATGGACTATTACCTCTTCAATTTCTCCATCCTGTACGAAAGAAACAATATTTCTAGTTATAAATATTGGTATTGATTTGATAATTAAACACTGATACAAATGGATCTCTAGACCTCAATGTCATCACTAAATGATGATGCATTGTTATTTAAACTAAAGATACTATGTCCCTTTTGCAGCCAACATCAAATTCTGTAAAACTTTGCAGGAATTACGACTATGTCATGTCATGTGAAAGTATGTATTAGCATGAATTGTTTTTATTTACAAACATTTAGCCACTTCCTCACTCCCCCTAAAAATGCAGAAAGGGCATAATTGTAAAACCTACTTTTCAAGCTTGCCTGCATGAAAATAACATTCTAACATTTGTTTTGCATTGAACTCAATGCAAATTTAAAATTTAAAATTTGATTTTCGGGGGCTATTTTGCCCTGAGCCCCCATATATTTTTTCACTGCTACTCGCAACTGAGCTGAGATATCTCTTCATGGGTTCACTCTATGTTTTACGACTAGGTGGCACGAAAAAATTTCAAACAGCATAGGACTACTAGGCATATCATGTGCGCAACAGAGTAAATGAATGCATTTAGCAGATGTGATGCACTGTAGCTGCTGTAAATACAAAAAGTAGCATGATTTTTTGTGCTATCACTAAGGAATAAATCCAGATTTAAAGAGAAGGTTGAGTTCTGGGAAGAGGAAGAAAATATTTGTGAGCGTTATCATTGTATTATGCAAGTGTGGAAGAACATCAGATATAAAATGTTCCCCGAAAAGCATGGCTCTTCAAATGCCTTCATATTCAAAATATGGCACGCAACATCATCAAAATCAGGACGGATTTGTGTGCCACATGTTCGTGTAGTCCCATATACGTCTTTCTGTGTACAGTGCTTGTAACTTTACCAAGACTGGGCCAAATTTATTATCATTTTGATGATTCCAGAACCTTGCAGTAGACACCAATACTTATATGCTAGATGATCAACCTTCTCTGATTGATTCCACACTGTGTCTTTCACAATACAATCGCTTGACCAGAACTCAACTTTATCTTTAATTCTCTATGGCGGTGAAGACGAAAATGCTACAAGTAACCAGAGCCATCTATACACAGAGTTTGGCCAACCTGGTTTCACTGGGTCACAACATGGCGTTTATTCTTTTGTTTTGTGCTTGCCCAACAAAGCAGTCACTATGAACATGACGGACAAAGAAAGAGGTCAAAATATACAGTTCCTCATTCTACCCTCAACAATTGCTGTGGTAGACAAAGGAACATTCCTTTACTGCTATTATGTAAAAATGTGTAGAACAGGTGTCACATGCATATTCACCTGTTCTACACATTTTTACATAATAGCAGTAAAGGGATGTTCCTTTGTCTACCACAGCAATTGTTGAGGGAAGAATGAGGAACTGTATATTTTGTCCTTTTTCTTTGTCCATCATGTTCATATTGAGTTGCCATATTGTTTCCAACTCGAACCGGTTTGGCCAAACTCTCCTTATCAATGGCACTGCAAGTAACAATTCTGGCTGCTGACTTACCACTTCCTCTTCGGGCGCTTTTGGTGGGTTGAAGAAGTTGAAGAAGGAATCCGTCTGGACTGTCTTGGTGACCAGACGTGTCGTACCCCTGCCCTTGTGCTTCTGTTTCTTCTTGATTACTTTCACCGTTACATTCTTGTTCTTCTTCCAGTCAATCTCGCATCTGAAAAATCAAATCAAAAGATGTACAGTCAAACCTGCTTTAGTGACCACCTGTCTACAAAGGCCACATTTATTGTTTCCCTTGAAAAAGGTTTCTCATTTAATCATGTACTAAAGGAACCTGTCTACAAAGGCCACTTTTGTGTTTTCCTTGGGTGGTCGCTAAAGCAGGTTTGAGTGTCTACAAAGACCACCTGTCTACAAGGGCCACATTTATTGTTTCCCTTGAAAATGGTTTCTCATTTAATCATGTACTAAAGGAACCTGTCTACAAAGGCCACTTGTGTTTTCCTTGGGTGGTCGCTAAAGCAGGTTCGAGTGTCTACAAAGACCATCTGTCTACAAGGGCCACATTTGTTGTTTCCCCTGAAAATGGTTTCTCATTTAATCATGTACTAAAGGAACCCGTCTACAATGGCCACTTTTGCGTTTTCCTTGGGTGGTCGCTAAAGCAGGTTTGAGTGTCTACAAGGGCCACATTTGTTGTTTCCCTTGAAAATGGTTTCTCATTTAATCATGTACTAAAGGAACCCGTCTACAATGGCCACTTTTGTGTTTTCCTTGGGTGGTCGCTAAAGCAGGTTTGAGTGTCTACAAAGACCACCTGTCTACAAGGGCCACATTTGTTGTTTCCCTTGAAAATGGTTTCTCATTTAATCATGTACTAAAGGAACCTGTCTACAAAGGCCACTTTTTGTGTTTCCCTTGGGTGGTCGCTAAAGCAGGTTTGACTGTATTAGCAGCCTCTTGTACAGAAAGACCACTAGTCCGAAAGGACATTTTTTCATTTCCCTTGAAAAGCGTTTCGTATCGATTGAGTTCAGAGAGGTGAAAAATAATTTGTGAGCGTTCTCATTGTTATTATGCAAGTGTGGGAGACCATCAGAAAAGAAATGTTCCCTGAAAAGCATGGCTCTTTAAATGCATTCATATTCTAAATATGACAACAGCTTAAAAATTAAGGCCTGATTTATATAACACATGTTTGTGTAGTCCCATATACATCTTTAAGTGTACAGTGCTCGTTACTTCTCCAAGACTGGGCCAAATTTCTAATCATTTTGATGACTCCAGAACCTTGCAGTACACACCAATACTTATATGCTAGATGATCAACTTTCTGATCGATTCCACGTTTCTTTTAAAATGCAATCGCATGACCAGAACTCAACTTTATCTTTAACATTGTTATCTGAATTTGGCCTGTCCTTACCCTTGCGATCCGATGATTTCTGGTCCTTCAAAGCTGAATGGATCACTTTCATCGGGTTCTGCTTTCATCTGATAACTCTTGTTTAGGACGGTGTTTGTGAAATAATCATTGGCAGTAAAAAAGAATTCTAACGTAAAGCCCTGTAAATACACAGAGGAGAGAAAGGGAGGGGGAGAGAGAGGAGGAGAGAGAGAGAGAGATTAGTATATAAGACAAAGATTAGAGTCAAGTTTGGTTTTATCACACCTCTTCTATTACTACATCTTTTCCTCTTCCAAGGAAGCACGAAATCCCTTGAAATTTAGATTTTGTTGATCATTAGGCTATTATATAATCATATAAACTATTCAGATCCTCGGTCATTAAGATTTTACATGTTTGAATGTTTGTATCAGATGCTACAGCAAATTCTTCCAAAATCGGATCATATAGTGTGTGGTGGGCTTAATTTGACCACTGAGCCTTCAACTGCGAAAAGATACCTTACTAAACAGGTATAAAAAGATGCAGGAAGAGTCACCCAACTTAATAAGGGTCAATTTTTTAAAAGAGTACTTATTTTTGCATAAATGAGCTCTGTGACCTTTGACCTCATGACCCCGAAGTCTAATTCCTTCATTGGCTCTGCAAGATACATATATGACCCAAGTTTGGCGGTAATCCATCAATCGGTTCTTGAGATAACGCGATCATGAGAACGGGACGTACATACAGACAACCAGAAAACATAAATACCTCCGGCTATTTTGTAGCAGAGGCATAAAAATTAATTACCAATAATACTCTGCTTGCTACATGAATTCTATTGAATAAAAGAACGTTCTTCACGTCACAATGTAGTGAAAAAATGCTCCCTGTGAGCCGGACTTTACTGTAGAGGTGTTGAGGTCGAGTGGATATGTTACCGGACTGTGGATTACAAGGTCCGCGGTTCAAGTCCCGCCGCGGCTCTAATGTCCTATGGCAAGACATTGATCTACATTTGCCACTCTCCACCCAGGTGTTAAATGGGTACCCGGTAAGATGCGAAAGTTAATGTGGTTGGATTAGCAGGTGGCACTTGTAAAATGGCGACTGGCTGGAATGCTCCCCAGGGGGTGGAACATGTGCACAGAGTGTGTGCGGACAAGTATTGAATCCAATGACCGGGGTAATAGTATATCTGTTAAGCGCTTAGAGACGTTTGCATTAAGCGCTATAAAAGCGGAATACTATCATTATTATTATTATTATTCGACACTAGACCTACCATTTGTGGTCCTTCATGGAATTTGACTCTGATATCATTTAAGTGACTAAGGATTGGTTCATCGTGATCTTGAACCATCTCGCCAAGAATATCAACATTCTTGAAGATTGTCATCCAGAAACCAGGAATGCCCGGCGGTGATTCTAAAACAAATCAAACATTTTATTATTAGAATGTTGTAGCATTTTTAAATCACCTTCAAGGCTTCTAACACGAAATTGACATTTCATAATCAGATTGTAGCTTTTCGAAACACTTATATATTTTTAATCAGCTTATAAGCTTATAAAGAGAAACTTAACATTTTATAATCAGATTCAAACTTTTATGTCACTTCCTAGATTCTCTGACAAACAAAAATCACATTCATGCCAGAAATAACAACATTTTCTTCCAGTATAGGCAATTGGAACTATTTCAACTTTGGGGGGTAAATGGATAAGGCCTCTTTTCTGCTAGCATATTCAGATGACAAATACTATTCATAATTAAAAAAAAAAAAAACGAAACGAAAAATAAAGAAGAAGACTTGTAGCTGTGTGTGACAAAATAAAACTGCAATAAAAACAGAAAACTCACAAATTAAAGACATTCTGCTGCCTCAAATTTTGTGCACATGAAAGTTTCAAGAAAAATAAATCACTTTTAAAGGCAGAATTTACCTTCTTCTTCTCCGTCTGTGACTTTGGCCTTTCCTTTCAGTTCTCCCTGTTAGCAAAACAGAATCAAAATCAAATCTAAATTTACGATTGGCAATAACAATGACATCACCAGCAATAAGCCAGTTCATGGTTGCAGGGTGAGCATGAGCAGATAAAGGTCATTGCAGAATAAATTTTGAAATACACGGAGATGAAATACTGGATACGTGCTCATGAAAGTTATGTAACATTATTCATTCATGCACATTCAATGCACTCCATGATACACAGGTGGAAGTATTCTTTGAAAAGGGGAAACAAAGGCTATTTATATAGCACCTCAATCGCTGTAGGAGTGATTATTTCAAAATGAACAAAGTGGGATCTCTCCATGTGTAAGAGATCTGTGGATATTTGGGGTCATTTGTACCATGTGCTATCTGTAAACTCCCTTATACTGTAGTGGACGGACCTGCCGACCTCTGGAGTTCAAAAACTGTATTCCTTAGTCCCAAAAGTTGTACTTTACTGACAAAAGTTGTATTAAATTTTTTTTTTTTTTAAATGGATCAATGCCTCTTACAGTTCCTACATACAGGAAGAAATTTGTGTATGGATCATTGGTTGAATATGCATGATTTTGTCATGACTGGCAGACCTGCCAACCTCTGGAGTTCAAAAACTGTATTCTTTAATCCCAAAAGTTGTATTCTTAAAAATAAACACGGACTGTTACGCGGATCAATGCCTCTTACAGTTCCTACATACAGGAAGAAATTTTTGTATGGATCATTGGTTGAATATGCATGATCTCGTCATGACTGGTGTGTTTGATGAACCAATGAACATCCCCAAATTGCCCATGTGAGATGCTTGTAGGGTACTATAGAGGACAGAATGGGCATTTTGTCATTGAAAATGGCACACACACACACATTTTTTTTTTTTTTTTTGGGGGGGGGGGGGGGAAATCATTTTTCATTGAGGAAAATCGTAGTCGTATTTACTTCTACAAAATACGATTAAATTGTACTGATTGGCAGGTCTGAGAGGATCATCTTACACATACAGACATACAGAAGATGGCCTTTCACCTTTAACCTCATTATCAAAGCTATAGAAAGTCTTGCTTAAAATATATTTTATCACCTGACGAAGTGTAGCAGCGGCACACGAAACGTCGTGACCTTTCAGATCCCTTGTTGACCATACATTGCGAGACAAACAAATGTCACTAGCGATATTATTTTCGATACTATATCCGCAATGAGTAATATATTTAGCATTATAGAAAGTCATTACGCAATACAGTGCTTTTTATGGAAAGTTCATCGACCTTTGTCACAATAGACCCATTTTCGAACTTGACATGTACCTTCAAAAGATGTACCTGTGGTATAAATTTCACGTTCCTACCTCAAAGCTATGGAAAGTTATTGCTAGTAAAGCATGACTGTTGCCAATGACAACTACTCTGGAAATGGCGATGCCTACATCTTGCTCCCCTATGCAGACGAGACAAAATACTAAATTCAGAGATGCCAACCTCTTGACACAAAAAAAACAGACTGAGTATCCTTTAAAAAAAAAAAAAAAAAAAAATCAGATTTTCACGAAAACTCGACACTACCAATGGCCAGCTGGCCCCTGGCCAGTAAAATTTCAGAAAAATGTGATAGTGGTACGTACGGTCAAGTAAAATGTTTGCTCTTTCATTAAAATTTTAAAAGAAAATTGTAAAGCAAAGTTTTTGTTGGGGTTGCGGGAATTTACTTGTTTCTATGCGATTCCCTGGTTTTTATTGGTATAAAAAAAAAAAATTAAAAAAAAAATTGTTGTTGAAATATCGTATTTTAAGAGGTGATATCGTATTATCGTATTCCACTCTTGTTATCGTACTAAATATGATTAAATCATACTGGTTGGCATCTCTGTAAGTTATAATTTAGGAATAAGATACGGAAAGCTCATAAAACACGGCTCGCCAGAAAACTGGGCTTACCGCTAATGCATTAACCTCTTTCTTCCCTTCTTCCATATCCTCGTCTTCTTCCTCCTCCTCCTCATCATCACTGCTTTCCCATTCACAGTCAGAATCGGTAGGCTCGACCACTCCATTCACGACTTCTCGTCTCTGTCAAAATGAGGTTAAAGACAAAAATTCATTATTATTATTATTTATTTGACCAATCGGAAAACATACAATGAGTATAACAATAAGATAATACATAGAAATTTCATAATACATGCAAACAGCTTTAGGAAAGTGGAGAGAGAGAGAGAGAGAGAGAGAGAGAGGAGGATACAATCTGCTGGTCAGGGGTGACAGAATAATCCATTTTCCTCCGAGTTCAAACAGAAATCCAGACATTTAGTTCTAGTTTCTGAGTGGAGAGTTTGACAGTGATTGAGCTGGGAAACATTTTTACCAACGGTACCATGCCAGCGGCCGGGCGCTCTCCCTGGCACGGTTAAGCGTCGGCCTTGACAGTGCCAGGTGACCGAGAATTTTTTTGTTTTTGTTTGCGGCCGAATATTCGAGTACGATAAATCGTACTCGAGTAGTTGTCAACAGTGCGAGTACTCGAGTATTTGACTACCTGTCGCAGCCCTACGTCAAACCATGTGATCCACTACAACATGATATATCTAAACTAACCATCACTTTACTAGCATCAGAGATTAAATCATTCTCAGCTTACAATCCCTGGGGGGTGTTTCACAAAGATCCTAAGTTGAACTTAACTCTAAGTTGGACTTAAATATTATGGAGAGTCATTTGTAGCCTTAAAATCAAATATATTAAAAAGCAAAATTTCAAGTATTTTTAGACTTTTCATAAATTCCACATCAAGAACATGAAATCTCCTTGATAATAGAAAATATGGATGATTTGAATCAACATGTTATGCCTTTAAATATATTTTTTACAAAATATTTTCAATGATGCTAACTGCTTTCCATAATTGTTAAGTCCAACTTAGGGATAAGTTCGACTTAGGATCTCTGTGAAACACCCCTGGTTCTAAGATAGGTTCTTACCTTGTCATATAGACCGTCGTAAAGCTTGGCGTATTTACACTCAAGAGAATGCACCTCTTCATAGAATTTAGCCTCGAGCTGCGTGTGTTTGACCTGGTAATTCTTCAGGGCTTTTATCCTCCTTTTGACTACTTTGGGAAGGCTGGAATATAATGAGGGACAGAGAGAGAGAGAGAGAGAATGTGAATACGACAACGATATGAAAAGTACAGTAGTCAAGTCAAGACTGTACTCACCCCTGCTATCTATATATCATACAAACTACAGAGAAAATGTCCTGATATTTGGTGAAGAGAGGTACTATAGCTTGGAGATATGATCTAAACTAAGTAAGAAATATTTTAATCCCCAAAGTTGTTTAGCTTTACATTGATTCGGTGAGATGGACACCAGGGAAAAAATTAATATTTATTTTTCGGAGGCTACTTTTCAAGCTTGCCTGCATGAAATTAACACTCTAAAATTTGTTTTGCATTGAACTCTATGCAAATTTACAGAGGCTCTTTTCTGATTTTCGGGGGCTCTTTTGGGCATTTCGGAGGCTAATTTGCCCGAGCCCCCGTGTATTTTTTCACTGATGGACACGAAAATGCGCCTTCATTGTCAGATGCCCTTACGGGGGGGCCATCAAGTATGCTAAAGAGTAACTCAAATATTATTGCGTTAGTTGAGGGACAGCAACTGTCTGATCTGATTTGGATGGCTGCCGCTAGCTAGGATGTAGTACCAATGCTCCAAGAAACCAGGCAAAAGCAATCAGTCTATTGAGCCAAGGTACAAAACATTGGGGGCAGTCTCAGAGATGCCAACCTCTTGACACAAAAAAACAGACTGAGAATTCTAAAAAAAAAAGAATTAAAAAAAGAAGATTTTCACAAAAACTTGACACTACCACTGGCCTTGACACTGTCGGCCCAGGGCCAGTAAAATTTCAGAATTTTTTTTACTGGTAGGTACGGTCAAGTAAAAAGTTAGCTCTTTCATTAAAATTCAATGAGAAATATGTAAAGTAAAGTTTTTGTTGGGGTTGCAGGGTTTACTTGTTCATGTTTCTATGCGATTCAGCAGTTTTTATGGATTAAAAAAAGAAAAAAGAAAAAAGAAGATTTTATCGTACTGGTTGACATCTCTGCAGTCTGCTACATCTGCATGGGGGAGGGTGGGAGGAAGGATTGGGGTAGGGAGGGGGAGGGGGAGGGGGGGAGGGGCTTACTTACCTTTCAATGTATCCACTCCTCTGACCCACTAAACTGTCAAGGTGACCTTGAAGAGCAGCTAAAGCTTTAGGATTCTGCATCACCTGTGATTTCAACTCTGTTGGCATAGAAACAAACATGTCAATCAACTGATATGAGTTTACCCAAGCTATCAAACTACATGTTGATTATTGGTGGTTATTTTACCTGACTGCTAAGAAAGCATAAATGCTTGTAAGTCAGCAACCAGATGGCAGACGGCTTTCTTTTGCTACACTACGTTTTGCTGGAAACAAAAAAAGCCGGAATGCGCAATCTAACATCCAGGCAAAAGGTAGTGTAGCGCAGAGCTGCCAACCTCCAGAACCGAAAATCAGTAATCACAAGGCTCAAAATCAGTAATTTTGGGTATAAATCAGTAATTTCCTATGCGGCGCTATGACTCTAATAAAAACGGCACGCCAACATTGCACAGACACATGATTATCTGACATTTTTGGTGATTTTACTCACACAAAGTTGTTAAATAATGAGTTTCATATCATCACAACACAGTCTTCCAGGAAAAATGGGGGGAAAAAAAAAAATATAAAAAAAAAAAAAAAAAAAAAAAAAAAAAAAAAAAAAATCTTTTTTTTTTTTTTTTTTTTTTAAATCCGTAATTTTAAACAACATTCCGTAATGGTCGTTAATTTCCGTACCAATTACGGGAAATCCGTACTAGTTGGCAGCTCTGGTAGCGCTACGCGACGTTTTGCCGGTCAACCGATGACCATGGGGGACCAATGGTCACTGATTAGGCATTGTTTGCTGTATAGAGGGCACAAGTAGCTACCGTAATTAACGTTGTATAAACCGCCCTCGTGTATTAACCGCACGCCTCTTTTTCGCCCTTAAAAAAAAAAAAAAAAAAAAAAAAAATTTTTTTTTTTTGTTTTTGTTTTTTTGGTCGACTTTTTTTGCCGACTCTGTCGGCAGCAACTTCCAGCAAGCCTGGTCCGTGTTAAAAAACCCACGCGGGAAGGCCTTTCATTTAACTACGAGGTGCAGCTGAATGTGTAAGATCATTAATTAAATTAAAAAACAGTAGAGGACCTAGGATAGAACCTTGTGGTACACCATGTAATAGAAGAAAAATTGGAGGAATTATTATTATAGACTACATATTGAGATTACAGACAAATTTGACAGACAAATTTGAGTGTTTTTCTAGTTTCCGAGTGGTGAGTCAACACACCGATTACTGAGCTGGGAGACATTGCCAGGCATAGCGCCAGGTGGAGGGGCAAAAATCGAAACTTAATTTTTTTTTTTTTTTGGTGTACAGTGTATAAACTGCACCCCCGACTTTGAATTTTTTTCGGCGGCAAAAAGGTGCGGTTTATATACCGTTAATTACGGTATAAGTAGTGCAGTGGGGCTTTAAAAGACATGTACATGTACATATCCCGGCCCCCCACTCAGTGTTATTTAGGGTACGCTTATGCATGTTCCCTCCTTTTGAAAACACCCCCTAAGTCCGGTGTTTAAAGTCAATACCTGCCAGGTTTGTTTGTACTACGAGCCGGACTTTGGTGTGTGAAAAGTACCCCTTTACCGGACATTTTGGGAACATGCATGCGGTCCCTCCGACCCCAAAGTGGAGGGGCCGGGGTACATATATCAGAGATTGATTTACCTGACAGCGCTATAGCATCAGGTGAGTTGATCTTCTGAGCGGTGGATGTATCAATGACCTCTAACCCTTCCAGGTCTTGGCCGTCTCCTTGTGGTCCTGGATCCATGTCTAAGACTGTGTCTCCAGCTGCTGCCTGATCTCTACATAATACAAACATACAACACAGTTACATGTAGTTAGGCAATTAAAAAATATATACATGTATAGCGTCCCTGCCCGCTTCCCTTTTTTTGTTGAAATTTTTTTTGGATTTTTTTTTAAAGAAAAAAAAGAAGAAAAACACTGCTAAATTGGATCTATTTCTGATTTTAAAAAAAAATGACAATAATTACGGCTACCATCTTGAAAAATGGGCTGACTGTCAGGCCATTTTGTAGAAAGAAAAGAAGAAAAAAGGGCCTCCTCCTTCCTATTTTTGAAAAAAGGCAGGACACTAAACATGTTTTTTTTTTTTTTTTGCCTAATGGTCAGGTGTCACTAGGTATGTCCTCATCAGCTCGAGATTGCCAAATAGCCCGCTATTTCTGATTTGGGAAATAAGCCCAAAGTTACTTATCGCGTCTTTCTCAGCTGGAGACTTGACCTTAAGATATTTTGCCCAGCGTTTGCGCATAGTGCGAGTCTTCCGGCTGGTGAAGACGTACGGGACAAATAGAGGAATAATTTTGCAAACTAGCCCAAGATATCTTGGGATGATTATCTCCACCAAATATCCTGCTAATTGCAACTGCGGGCTGATGGAGACATAAATTAGCTGGATAATTTGCAAAATTACCTTCATAGCAATATAAGGTCCTAATAGAGAACTAGAAATGTCGCCAATAAGAATAAGAGCAATAACCATGCACTTTTGAAGGCATTTGCGGTCTTAACTGTTGCTGAGCTAGCACCATGAGCGTCTTTAAGTTAACACTTTTATTATTATTATTATAAAACAAGAACTCAACTATCATTTTAATGGATGCCAAACTACAAGCTGTATTAATCCTGAATATTAGAACAGCTAATGAAGCCAACAGCAGGCACAGTGCTTAGAAGGGTTTTAACATGTATCAGTGGCATGTATGAATGTTGAAACAACGGGTTTGAAAATCTGTGAAAGGGTCAAATTTAACAGCAGCAAGTTCTAAAATAGAAGCAAATATCATTATCATTCTCAACCCAAATCATTAGTTTTACACTTTGTTTAAAAATCCTTCTAAGAATCAGGCTCTGATTGCACCTTAGAAGCGCAGGGGTGTTCCACAAAGATCCTAAGTTGAACTTATCTCTAAGTTGGACTTAACAATTATGGAAAGCCTTTAGCATCTTTGAAAACAAAATGTCACACTTATTTTATAAGGCATAAAATGTTGATTCAAATCATTCAGATTTTCTATTATCAAGGATATTTTATGTTCTTGATGTGGAATTTATGAAAAGTCTAAAATACTTAAATTTTTGCTTTTGAATATAATTTATTTTTAGGTTACAAAGTACAAATGGCTCTCCATATTTTTAAAGTCCAACTTAGAGTTAAGTTTGACTAATGATCTTTGTGAAACACCCCCCCCCCCCCACAGAGCTGTACCCTTGATGCAAATGTGCATCTAGACTTGTTCCATGCTGCAATTTATTTTAGAATTTTATTTTGTGGACCACTGTGAGCAGGTCTAGACACCAACATGGTCCTTTAAGTTTTAACACAAACCCTGAAAGCTTGGAAATTTAAACAGCAGAAAATGCACAAAGACACTAAAAACTTTAAATTTGAACTCCTGAGCAATACAACAATGGTTTAAAACAGCACTCAAACTTCATAAGAAAGGGAGATAAAGTGAAAGTAGAGGACAAATTCCTCTCCGAAATAAAGTGAAAGTAGAGGACAAATTCCTCTCCGAAATTTATTGACAATGAATAAAAAAACACAATTGTTTGATTCCTTTCCAATATTCAAAAGCCAAAACATGCTTTCTATCTCCTACTCCTTGCCACATGTTTGAACTTTGAAACCTTTTTATGGTTAGTAATCAAATAAAACTCAAATTATTAATGGATATGATTCAACAGCAGGTGAGGAAACAAACAGAACAACCAAACTTTTATTTATTTGTAATCTTACGATATATTTTCACTTGGATTGTCCATGTCCATATCTCTCTCTCTCTCAAGGTGACCTGAATTACATGGCAAATATAAACCAACAATGTGCAAGTTTAATTGTACCTCTTATTTCAATGTTAACTTCAAATTCAACTAGAACAAAAAGTCAATCAAAGCTTCACAGTTTAAGCAAAGCATGATTCAATGGGTTTAATAATTAGAACCTAACTCTTGCTTGAAAGAAGAAAAAAAAGAGACCCTATTTCAGATTTGTGTGTATCATGACATTACGGTAGATGACTTCACACAGGCACACGCCCGCCTACAACCCACCATCGGTATGCACTTGTATTGTGTAGCAGTTTGCTGTGAAACTTGTGAAAAAGTGTAATGTTTTTCCGAAAAATACTCCAAAAATAACAAGAAAATTGACATGAAACAGGTAATCTAATAAACATAACAACTTTTACCTCATGATCTTTATTTGGACATTTGATGAATATTTACTTCATTTTGGGTATGTTTTAGTGGGGTATAGATTCTCTAGACCTATCTATTTCCACTTCGGAGTTACGGGTCAAATTTTGGAGAGGCTTCTGTCTTCTAAACAAGCGCCAAATTTTGGATAGACTTCTGAACTAATGCCAAGTTCTGAACATAATATTAATACTATTCCACATCAACTCAAGCAGTCGAATCAGAGGTCTAATTAGACTAGGCTGTTACTCTCATCTACAGTAAGATGTCTTCATACAGGTCGAAAAAAGTCATGATCATGATACACAAAGATAATGATTCATACATGTATTCTACATTGTAGCTCACGGACGAGATTGCGACGAATGAGCACTGCACAGGCTGCACTGAAAGATTGTGCAATGCATGTGCAAGCCATGCGTCTCCCAAAGCGCGCGCCAGTGCGAATGAATGAATGAATTTGACAGCTGTGGAAAATGCTGTATATTTCAAAATTATACCTCATATCGACATATGGAAGATACGGATGCATAACATGTAAGCAACCTCTACATACCACACTCAGTCCATCACTTGCTAACAATGAAAAACTGTAATTTCGAGACAAACATGAACGACTTACCTGAGAAAAATGCCAATATTGTCTTTCGGTACTCCAAGATGGCGGGTATCAAACATGAAAATTGATTGGCCGGAATATGACGTCAGGTTAATCCAACATCCAATGGGAACACGTGGCTTTTGTTGGCATATTTTGGCGCGGGTGCTGTGCCAAAAACATGTGAGGGCATATGGCATGCATGGAGCTGTCTATAAAATTGGCGATAAAATTACTTGGCCTAGTACAAAATTGTCTCGAAAAGATATACTAGTCCTACAACAGTAACATACGATGAAGTCCCATCTATTATAGTCGATAGATCAAAATAACCATTAGAAACAGGGGCGGCAATCCCGGGGGGGGGGGGGGGGGGAGATCGAGGGCGACGGGCCTAGCTAACCCCCTTCCTGGTAAAACATAGTTTTCTCACGAGTAGCTAGCAAACAAATTGTGCTCTTAACACCCTACCCCCCCCCCATCTTATTCACCGGCTGGCTGAGTCGCCGCAAAATATTTTATGAAAAATAGGCTCCCCCCCCCCCACCTCTTATTCACCGGCGCTGGCTGAGCCGCAACTAAATATCCGTGACTGGGGGATACGTCCCCCCTCCATTTTTCATTCCCCCGCCCCCCCCCCCCTGAAAATTTGAAAGAGTGCAACAACAAAAGTGTATAGCAAATACTGACTGAAGACTGCAACAAACTTTAAGGCTCTGGAGGGCCAAAGATCGAGTGCGGCGTTTGGACACAAAATGCTACGTTCCCTTGCGTAATATTGTTCAAAGTGTAAAAGTTAATATATAGAAAAGTGAAGTTTGAAAAAGGTATATTGTTTGTTTTTATACTATTGTTTTGCTATGGAATGTAATTTCTTAATACACAAAACTTCAAAAACCTGTGAGGGGGTAGTCACTTCCGTCACCTTCACTCCTCTCGTTCACTAAGCTCCCTCGCACTGGCGTAATGACGGGGGGGGGGGGGGGGCTTGGGGCAGTTGCCCCCTAATACAATTCAAACGTGGTTTATTTCTAATTCGATGCCAGTGACTTACAAATGTTACTGAAATGGCATGGTTTTTCCCCGAGCTTCCGGGGGCTCTGCCCCCTGGATGCCATCTGACCGTTATTAAATGCTTAAAACCCCTGAGCTTCCGGGGGCTCCACCACTTTACCCTCAGACCCAACACCAATTTACGCTCACTTGCTTCGCTCGATTTGCTCAGCCTGATCGAAAATACTTTAGCCCCCCCCCCCCCCCACTTTGGAAAACGTACCGTGGGACCTGCGTGTACCATGTAAGAGTGGGGGTCTGCACCCCCCCCCCCCCAACAAAAAAATGCTTATTACGTCACTTCTCCCCCGTCCCATTTCGCCGTTCCTATTTTTTAGATGCATTAAAAATACTTTTCTTACACCAAGGAAATGAACTCGGTGAAATATTACTAAAAAAGGAGTACTAAACTTAGACCTATAGAGAATTCAAATTCGAAAATGTTACTTTTTTAGATCCCTTTGGCCTCGATCGATTACATCGAAGTCGTATATAACTCAAGTAAGCTGAGGTTTTAAGTTAACTATAATCATAATGTATACATTAGCTTATCGCTCTGCCATATTATATTGGCTGTATCCAGTACGTAATGAATTAGAAATTAGTGATTTTTGATTTGTAAGAAACTTATGTTTAATACGTACGTTGTTATATATTATATGTCTTTATTTCTGGCACCAATTTTATCATCACCATGGTTTATTAAATTCAGCATTTTATTTATAGAAATTACTGCCTTCTTCTTCTTGTCTCGAGCATCTTTTTCATTTAGACCAACGTTAATACTGCGTGCGCTTCTCTCTTTATACCGTCATCTTTTCATGAAATATTCGGTCTTCCTATATGCCATCCACTCCCAGGGCCAGACCCCATGCTCTTTTCGCTTGCTCATCACCTTTCCTTAATTAACACACGATTTATCAATCTCAGGAGCGGATCCAAGAAAAGGGGGGAGGGGACGGGCAGGGGCGGGCGGGGCGTGAGATTCAGTGCGATCGTGGAGCACTCCAAAACTTTTCCGGCTTCAAGATGCTCTATAATTATAAATGGTACATTCTGAGGCATTTCTGAATGCGTAAACTGAATATTTACGTGAATATTTCTTAGCTTTTTTCCTGCTATTTATTCGGAAGGAAAAGGGTGGTGGAGGGGGGGGGGCGTGCGCCACCCACGCTTCCCCTGGATTCGCCCCTGACTCTCAATCCACTTCTCTTAACTTATTTCCACTTCTACCACAGTTTCTTCCAGACCAATCTCTCCATGAGCTCCCTTCAGAGGTGGCGGAGCGACTTCCAAATAGTAGGGGGGGGGGGGGACCAAAAAAAGGGCAATTTCTGGGAAAAAAGGGCACCTACAAAGGGAAATCTCAAAGCGAAAATAAACAATTTTTGAGACATTGGTATATACCCCTAAAAATTGATTACATTATCAGGGATGATTTCAATATTTGTTTCTCTTTATACATCGTATAATTATATAAAATATTTCTTTTTAAAGCACCATACCTTGCAGTTGGGTGTGATGGTCGAAAAAATCATTTGTGAGCGAGGAAAAATATAAGATTTGTGAGGTCAGAGTGCGAAAACTACATCTTATAAAGAGGAAAAGAACAATCCTCATTTATAAAAACGGCACATTTCCATAACAGCAAACTGAAAAGACCTTTGATAAGTAACATAATTATAACAGCTATAAATGTGAGCGAGCGTAGCGAGCGAGCTTTGGGAGATATTGCTCTTAGTCCCTTGAAATTAGGGGCACGTTTAATGATGAGAGGAAAGGGGGACACTTATCGAAGGGATAAGACACTTATAAGAAAATAAAAGGAGCACGTGTCAAAGTACACAGGGTTATTATCAGAGGTGAAAATGGGGCACTCACCAGGGATGAAAAGGCACTTATGAGAATGGAAATTGGGCATTTGTCGACGGAAAAGAGGCAACCATCAGATTTTGATAGGGGCATTTATGAAAAAGGGATAGGTTCCTCATAAGAAAGGAAAAGGGGCACGTATCATTTAAAAAAAGGTTAATTATCAGAGGTGAAAAGGGGCACTTATCGCACCTGAAAAGGGGCAAACACATTATATGAAAGAGGCACTTATGAGAATGAAAAAGGGGCACTAATAATAAAGGGAAATGTGCTTTTGTTGAAAGAAAAGGAGCACCGATCAGATTTTGATAGGGGCATTTATTGGAGGTGAAAGGGGCTCTTATGAAAAGCGGAAATTATGAAGGAAAAAGAGCATTTATTATGAAGGAAAAGGGGCACGTGTCAAAATAAAAGGGGGTGTTATTAGAAATGAAAAGAGCACTTATCAGTAGGAAAAGGAGGCACTTGTCAAAATAAAACGATTGTCTCTCAGAATTGAATAGGGTCATTTACCAGACATGAAAAGGAGCACTAGTAGGAGAATGAAAAAGGACTATTTTCATAGGTGAAAAGGGGCATTTATGAAAAGGCGAAGGGCTCTTTGTTAAATGGGGCACTTATCATAAGGAAAAGGGGCACTTATTAGAAAGGAAAGGGGGCACATGTGAAAATATAAGGTGCGCTTATCCGAGTTAAAAAGAGATAGTTATTAAAAGGGAAAGGGGCACTTCTTACAAAGGAAAAGGGGCAATTGTCAAAGTAAAAGGGGCACCTCTCAGATTTGAATAGGGCAATTATCAGAGGGTCATCAGAATAGGGTCATTAACCAGACATGAAAAGGAGCACTAGTAGGAAAATGAAAAAGGACTATTTTCATAGGTGAAAAGGGGCATTTATGAAAAGGCGAAGGGCTCTTTGTTAAATGGGGCACTTATCATAAGGAAAAGGGGCACTTATTAGAAAGGAAAGGGGGCACATGTGAAAATATAAGGTGCGCTTATCCGAGTTAAAAAGAGGTAGTTATTAAAAGGGAAAGGGGCACTTCTTACAAAGGAAAAGGGGCAATTGTCAAAGTTAAAGGGGCACCTCTAAGAGTTGAATAGGGCAATTATCAGAGGTGAAGGAGGCGCTTAACAAAAGTGAAATGGGGCGCTTCTCGTATACGAAAAGAGGCACTTACCAGAGATTAAAAAGGGCACTTATGAGAATGGAAAATAGACACTTATTGCAAAGGAAACTGGGAACTTGTCTGGGAAAAGAGGTAAGTGTCAAAATAAAAGGGGCACATATCAGAGGTGGAAAGGAGAGGGGGCACTTTTAAAAATTAACAGGGGCACATATCAAAGTAATAGGGGCACTTTTTATGTAAAAAGGGGCACTTCTTACAAAGTTAAAGGGGCACTTCCCCCCTGCCCCCCCCCCCCGGGTCCGCCGCCTCTGGCTTCCTTAATTCTATCAAACAGTTTCACATCGCACATCTTCTGTCCTATAAACAACCACACATATTTAAATGGGAAGCTATCAGTGGCTCATTTATTATCAAACTATCATATCTGTCCAGTACGGAAGCCCATTAGTGCCACCATACTAAATAAAATTTAAGAGGAATTATCTGGCGGCCGCCAGATAATTAAGTGGCGGCCGCCAGATATTTAGAGGTCTATAACAGCTGCATAATGGTAGGATACTGGAAGCACTGGCGTACTGATGGGGGGGGGGGGGGGTGGGGCACTTTTGCCCACAGTCAGAGGCGGCATTCTTGGTTGGGAGGGGGGACACTGTGCCCCCACTTTTTCAGGTTCCCCTAAAGTGCCCCCTTATCCTTTGTACATGTCCTTTTTCCCCGGCCCCCCACTCAATGTTATTTAGGGTACGCATATGCTCGTTCCCTCTTTTTGAAAGCACCCCTATCTGAGGACTGCCAATATTTCTGTGGGCATGAATATGAATATAGGGGCATGTTGAATGTTTGGGAAATTCTAATTCCAGTTCACTTTCCTTTTCTTTGAATGGAATATCATTTTAATTTGTTTCAATTCAGGTTTTATTATTTTTTATGTTCTTTTTGGTTACTAAATAGTAATCAATTTTACTGCTTTACTGCTGATTTTTTTCGGGGGGGGGGGGGGGAGTGAAAATTCGTTTTGACCCCCCCCCCCCCCACACACACACACACCTTTTCGTTGGGAGGAGGGCGAGTCCCCTGCCCCCACTTCTGGCGC